ACTAAATTCTTTGCTCTTCCTCCCTCTTACTCACCTTCTCCAGCCCCTCCACTTACTGCAAGTCTTTTAGCACAATGATAGGACAGAAGCACACAGGAATAATGGCACGTTGTTGCTAAGAGACCACCTGTTCAGATCTCCCACATGAGATTGCGGTGGAACCGTTAGTCCTCTTACCATGATCAGAATATCATTCAATGGAGTGCAGCGAATGCCACAACAATGTTTGAACGTTATTATATAACGCCGTGTCTTTTTAGGTAGAAAACCTGGGGTTCTGCTAAGGGTTTTTTAATCAAACAGCCTCCTGCGTTAGTAGCAAGCTCACGACACAAGGATAATCCCGAAAGCGGATGGTATTAAAGTACGACGCTTGACCCGCTCACGTCAAAGTACTATTTTGCCTTCCGCCTGTCAGCCATTTGGAAAGATGGCAACCACTGTTTTCCAGGCTGTGTTGACAATCAGGGAGTGCCGCTGCATGGGAAAATGAGTGTTGTCCTGAGGGCTGTAGGAGATGAGACGCACCCTTCTGTTGCCTTACCTGCCAGGGTGTGTTCAAAACCTGCAACACACAAAACCTCCCTGACAAAGACTTGGGGAAAAGTTATCAAGCTAAAGGGTGTGTTCAACCGGGTTAAAATCATGCCAGTGATAAAAAACAAGGTTTCATATAGACCGGCTAAACACACAGTCCCATTCTTATCTTGGCTGTGGGGCGCGCACACACACACACACACACACACAAACAAACACACACACACACACAGCCGCAAGTGTCAGTCTTAAGTATCGGTCTCGCCCCGTCAGCGCGGGAATGACGAGACGCCATTCGCCACGTCTGGAACAGTCAACGTGAGGGAGGAGAATTGTGGTGAGTCACAGAAGATCACTCTTGGATTGCCGGGTTTCACAGGGTTGACTCCCCTGTTGATCACCATAAAGTCAACTCACACATGAAAGACAAAACAGGGAGGGCCTCTGGCCTTGAGGAACAACACTTGCAGGGAGATGCTGTATCTCCAGTATAAGCCTCAGCATGCTCACAGTCCCAGGCCTGTTAAAACACACACACACACACACACTCTCTCTCTACTCACTGGGCCACCATGAGTCACAGCGGTGCAGTTTACCCCCCCCTCTCCTCCCTCTCCTCCTCTGCGATTACTCAGTATCTGCCCAGCTGCATTTGAAGCACACGACGCCAATTACAATCCTCCGAGCTCATAGCGCGGAGTGAAATCGGTGGGGTTACAGTGGACAGCCGGTGTTATGGAAGTCCCATTTGTCGAGCCCCCGACAAGTCAGCGTTAAGTGACGGGGGAGTAAGAGTTTGTCCAACAGCCGCTCCGTGTTCAATCATCAGTGCCTTAAAACGGCAAAAGCAAAAAGGCATTACAAATAGTTTAAGAGACATAAAGGGTCAAAAAGGTAGGGTTGCAAAATTCCGGGGAATATTCAAATTTGGAAAGTTTGGGGGTAATTTTACTGTCATATATGAGAGAACAACGATTTCTTTTGTCATAAGCAGATATGCATGCAAACATTTCTAATACAAATTTTAAAAAATGACTGATTTTTGATGATTTTTGACTTCCATCCATTTGTGAGTAGAACTTTATACTTCTTCAAAAACATGAACTGTGAATAAAATAGTTCCCTAAAAAAAGAGCTAGCTGCATCCAGGGTCCAGCTGAGGTCGGCTTGCAACTCAAGTTCCCTATTACATGCTTCTGCAAACAAAAAAAACAAACAAACAAAAAAAAAGTCAACATTTACGAAAATTCCTGAGCTTAACTTCCCATGGAAAGTTTCCGGAGACCTTCCGGAAATGTACCGCCCCTTTGCAACCCTACATTCCTGCGACCATATTTTAAGAGAGACTGGAAAGGAGTCAATATTAAGCCTCACTGTGGCACTATGTTTAGAAACATCCAATCATTGTGCACTGCCGTTTGTGCCACTGACGGCAGCGTGAACTCTGGTGAACTTTCGGTGTACGTTCAGATTCCAGAAGGTTTGCAACTCCACCATTCCCTCAGTGCGGCTGAAAAGTCCATGAAATTTAAGTTGACAGTGCGCACTTAAGTTGACGGCACATCTCAACTGACGAAAACGGGCCGATCATAAATAAACACACTGCGTAAACTTGCTCTCAGAACGCAGGGCTGGCGAGGAAAGCATGAGGAATGCCAACGAAGCATTGACGGATGAAACTCGTGCCACAAGTTCAGATCCCCAGTGTGGAGGGAAGGTCTGCGTTTACTGTGCCGCCTGTCAACGTCCGTGGCTGTCAAGGACTCTGACAGGCCGCTTTCACCCAAGAGAAAGAGCCCCACTGCTGGGCTCGTGCTTGAGTGAGCAACAACATCGAGTCCCACCCCCAAACGTCTCCTGCCCAAAGGGCTCCGGATCTAGACACCTACAGTGCGTCAATGTTGATTAGGCCTCATTAGGAGGTTTAAATACTTGGGTAAAACCCTGACAGAGCGTGGCACACGATCCACAATGATGCTAAATGATGAACTGCGGGTTGTGTGAGCAATTCAGGGCGGCTTTAGCCACCTGAAACATTTGCTTCCCTTGTTGGCTCTAAAAGGAGCCGTCGGCTCATCCGACCTCCTTACCGGTATAAGTAGATTCCCCCCGTAGGACGAGGAGCTGCTACCCTCTACCCACACTTGGCCTTCTGTTAGCTCAGCTGGATTGGGGCATGGTACCATTTTAATATCTTGGGGTGGGACTAAGAATATATTGAAAAGAGACTTCCTCCACTATAAGTGAGTTTTGACGGAAAGCCCCAAAATGTGAGCTGACCACAAGGCACCGAGAACCACATTAACCCCCACATTAGACGTCAACGCAAATGGAATCCATTCCATTACTTCTTCGGGGGGGAATCTGCTTTCCCATTGTCGCGGCCTCCCGTTGTATAATGAGTTCACACAGGTTTCCAGGCAGAACAGGTTTGAACGTTGAAACTCCCATCGAGCCAATGTTTACTTGTTGCAACAAATCAGCCCAACCTTCTCTGCCCGTCAAAAACGGCCTCCTGGAATGCAATGTCCCCATTTCGGCACGAGGGCTTGGCTGTAGAAACCCACTGGGATTGTGCTAATGGCCTCTAATCAGAGCTGTGACGTTGGCTGGATTATAGGGATACAATAGGTCAGCATTTAGGTAAAAAGGATGAATGAACGACTATGTTGGATTTTTTTAAAGCATGGTGGCATTTTTTAAATGAGAGGTATGGCCTTAATGATCACACCTGGTTTCAAAAAGAAATGCTTGGAGGGGGTGGAAGACTAGTTAATACAAATAAATAAAGAAGGAGTTTCGGTGCCTCTCCCCAGAGAGATTATGGTTAAAAAAAAAAAACGACAAGGCTCTGAATGAGTCTCTCACGGTGAATAAATACATCTGATTAATGCTGGAATTAAAAGGAGCGTGCCGGCTGGAATCGTATAAACACGTCGACCATAAAACTTTACTTTAGTTGAAATCTTACCTTATAGACATTTTCCGTCATTCTGTGAACCTCGTCGGTACGAGACATCGTCATATCTTCATCCAGGACCATAAACGGTTCTTTCCTTCAAACGTGTATCCGCGTAAAAAAAGGTGGGGGGGTGTGAGAGGAGGGGAGGGGGAGGGGGGGTGACTGGATAATACACGAGTTTGACCAAACAATAGGAAAAGGCAACGTGCCCGTGAGAGGGAGATAGTACTGCGCTCCCGAAAGCTCACTCCAACTAAACACACCTTCTCTCCCCTCAGCTGACAGCCCGCTGCTGCCTTCACGGTCCGTGCGGCGGCATCGTATTTTTCGCTGCTCAGAGGGTTAGGACCGATGTTACATTTTACAAAATGTCATGTAAAATACAGCAATACTTGGACGTTCTCCTTAGACGTGAGAGATTTTCAGGATATTTTAGCAACCATTAAATTAAACAACATTAAATTTGACAATAAAAATAAAAATCACGCCATTGTGGTCTGGATTTTAAATGTTTTTTTTCTTTTAAATCTTGCTTTAAATAATTTAAATAAGTTATATGACAAGCAAATGTATTCCATGAAGGATGTAGAACATATGTACATCTCGTTTAAACCATAATCTCAATATTTCCAACAGCATAGAATGCAGCACCATTTTATCGAAGTTCACATTTGGTGCACGCCCCCATAGTTTTATACCAATTGAGCTCCACCATTAGATAATATTCAAAAATAAATCATTTTCTTCCAAAAACGGAGTATTGAAATACAATTCTAGAGACATACATAGACAATTATGTAATTGCCTATCGATTTTGTTATAATGCACTCTCTAAAATATGGTTTATTATATCATAAGCAGCCAACAGGGCAAACCAGACACAAGGTTATTAAACATGTACGGAGAGAGTTTTTCATGTTGTCCTCAGAGCAGAATCCTCACACATTAAACTGACAAAGAATGGCTGGTCCAAAAGAAACCAAGCCAGCCCAAAAAAATCATATATGTATCAGTATGGTCCATTTTGTTGTTTTCTTCCTCGGCTCTTTAAGGCTTTTTGTGCAAACTGCTGCTGTGAGCAACCTACAAAACGGCAGTGGTCCCCATGAAGTTTCTCTCCTGTGTGTTTACAAAAGGTAACTTCATGTATGCAACTGCAAAGCAAAGTCAAAGTGAGTCATACTCTGACTGTTTTCCCTTCTACCATAGGTGATGTTTTTCTCACAGCGGATACTTTGCGTTAGTTTCATTGTACATGCCAATTAGAGTCTAAGTGCACACTTGGTGTCGGGCTGTAAATACTATACTGGCTTTCTTGTCAAACATCTTCCCACATACCAGCAACATGGGCTTTCTACTTCGTGCCGAGAACCACGCGCACTTTACTGATGGGATGTTAATGAACACACACCTACTTTTGTTGAGTTGAAAGAAAACTAACAAGGAGTGCCCCCTTCTGGAGAAAGCATGATACACAACATATCAAGAAAAAAAGGAGAAATATTGTGGCCAAGGCTCAATTTAATATTGAAAACAACTAAAATGAATGTGTAAAACATCTAAAAGCGCGTCCCCATAAAAACGTTTCACCATAACCGAAACAGTAACAATGTGACGTTGCTTTGCTAATACAAATCCTTTATGTAGATACTTCAGGGGAGCACTAATGAGTGCAGGTCCCAACTTTTGTCTACTAACAATTAAGGATGAAACAGTGGAATTAACAGAGTGCCGGCCGGTACAAAGAAAGCCTACTCCCAACCGCAACTTGACTCTGTTCTAGGCCGTTAACGTCTCTCTGTGTGCCGTGTCCTTTGCTTCCCTCCTCTCTAGAAAGGAAAATCAAAGAAAAGCAAATAGGATCAATCTGGCATGAATTGCTGCATAAATACATCAAGTGTGTGAGGAATGCTTTGTGATGTGAAATAAGAAAAACAACTGTACCTGTTCCAGCTTTAGCTGCCTCTGGTACCTCGGGTATTGGCTCAGTAGGTACTTCTGGAAGTTCTACATCTTCTCCCTGTTAGAGGGGTGAGAGAAGTTGAACAATAAACGTTGAATTAATAAAGGTTACATTGACCAACCGCAAGCGCACAACAGTATTAATTTGCCAAGCTGAAAATGTTTTTTACTTCTCAAATATGTGATATTTTGCAGATTCAAGCTTCAGGAATCGGAATCCTTCACTGAAGGGATCTTCTCCCTTAATGTCCTGGATGCAACTAAGCAACATACTTTGTCATATTCCATTTGAAGAGACATTTGTGAAAATATAGAAAAATGATTCCATCCAAAACATTTGTAGAAAACTGCTAGAAGGAATATTATTTCCTTGATTGATTTTTATCATTACATTGAGAAGACTTGAAAATAATTATCATTTGTGTCTCTGTTCAAGTGTGAAACATAATAATTTGATGGGCTTGAGAGTGTGTCATTTGGAATGATAATTAGATTACAAAAGGAGGAAAAATGCTGAGGTTTTAAATATTAGCAATCAACCAAATTCATACCAACAACTGTTTCAATTGTAGAGCCTGTTATTACATACACATTGTGATTTTTGGGCCTCTAGCTTTGCTACACTCATTCCTTCTTCCCGAGAGACAGATAATGTTATCTGATCTGATCTGATCATAATACCAGCATGCAGTTTGGGTATGAAATCCTCACTTGGAATAAATCACAGATTTAACAACAGCACTGCTCATAGTTACACTCAGACACACCAAACATGGTCTCTGTGGGTAACAACATGCAGCACAGCACCCACCTGAGTGATGGCATCCAGCTCTGCTAAAACAGCCTCCTGGTCCTCCTGCGTCAGGGCCCCAGCCAGCATTTCATCTATCTGCTGCAGGAGCAAAAGAACGTGTTAGCTGACAGCACCGTGACTGGCGCCTGAGGGGTCTGCATCCTTTGAATGTAAGAGATATTATAACATGAAGATATTAAAAGTAACTGCTCTAATACAATGTTAGCATTATTCAAATTGAATCAACTAGAATCACCTCCTTGCAGTCGAATGCCTCTGCCAGTGAGACATGTTGCCGTTTACATCAACGTCATCCCAAAATGTCATCACTTCAGTATTCTATTCAATTAGACATTGGCATGAAAATGTCCTAATTGGCATATGAATTCTTGAGTTTTGGGTCATGGTGACCTTGAGTGCAGTTTGACATTAGTGACACCAAGCAGATATTTACCCTTTGATATTCAATTGATTCTTGGGTCTCATCCAGGATTCGCTCCACATCTTCGATACACATGATCTGTCACAAACAAGAAAAGGAGGCACTTTTCAGAGAAGAAACGTCCTATTTGGGTGAAAAGTGTTTTCCTCACATTCCAGTGGGCTTGTGAGTTTCCAGGGCAGGATCTGTAACCTGTATCCAAGGATGTGGTGCAGAAACAGCACTGTAGTCAAGGCTTTGCTTTTTAATCCCATAATCTTCAAAGAATGTGCACCAGCTATGCTAAACCAAACCACACGTGTTCGCCACTGTTCAGTCCGTTGCCAAAGGATCACATTGAATAAAGAGTGTTTATCTGTTGAAACTTTTACATTATTGAAGTATAGATCCCACATCTCACGCTTGAGAGGTTATTATTATCACGTGGGTTTAAAAAGCATATTTTTACACTCAAAAGACAGGATAGAAAACAATGAAAACACATCTACCTCGTGCATAGTCTTCAGACAATGATTGCCAACCTTAAGTCCCTCAATGACTTCCATCTCAATTTGCATGAACTCAATGTCTTGAACCTGTTGAGAAATATGAGCGTGTAAAACATACAAAATACAGGAATACAGACATGCAGTATGAAGAAAAGAAAATAATTCATTCAACATTGCCTAAAAATCATCTGATTACGTTATTTACGGTATTTCAACCGACATACAATTTCAGATGACTACATACTGTAAAGAACACGTTTGTTACTGATGATGGTTTAGGGTTAGCTTTAGGTGGCAACTTGCAGATAATCCGAAAGCAGAACATGTGTAGACAGACTTTGGAAGATTCAACTTTTAATCTTAATATTTCACATCACGTAGAATATGTTCCCGGCTCTTCAAAACAATTGCATGAACTATAATCCTGATACACCCATAAACTTGGGCTTGGTGACTTAAAAATGAGTGACATCTAATAGGGTGAATGCACAAAACTTACCATTCGCTCGAGATTTGATATCTGACTGTCTGTCTTGTCTAGCAGCTGATCCTGATATCGTTTCTTCTTAAGAAGTAGCAGTGCTTTTCTGCAATAATAAATAAAAACAAAAAAACATAATACAGCAAAGATCTTTTTTTTCTAGGATAGCCATAGACTGCAAAACATTGCATATACGGTGAGATCTGCACCTCAGGAGATTTCTAATGTGCCTGTGGGAAGTTGTGTTGTTTTTAAATCTAAACCTACAGTGATGCTGATGCCATTACATGTTACTGACTAACATGGTGGAAGATGTTAAAACAAAAAGGACATCTAACGAATCCTCTTCTTGTACGCTCACTCTTTCTTTCCATCTTGAAGCCACTGCTTTGCCAGAAGTCTCTCTTTCTCCAGTTGCAGGGTGATTCTCTTCTGGTACTGCTTCAGCTTATCTCGCTGCTGCTTCATTTGCTGGGGAAAAAACAGTCAGATGCACTTTTAATAAATGCATAGACCAAATGGCCTGTATCCTAAATAACGTTAGAAAGCTTTATTTATCCCCAGTTGTGAAACTCATTAGCATTATTCAAATGTATTTCCGGACTTATAGTCTATATAACAAGAAACAGCATTAACCTAATACGACAACTAACGTTATATGCCTATAACTGGATTATCACGTGTCTGACAAAAAGTAATAACGTGTTGTACTACCATTGTTATATACAGCAGATAGAATTTCCACTCGGCGTTTCACAAAGACACACGGACAACCGTCTAAATCTGTATTACAGAACAGAAAGCATCCTTAGCACGTAAGCTAACATTCCTCCGTGTTGCCTAGCAGCCACGGCGCTGTGCGCCAAGCTAACGGGAACTAAGCTGCTGCTGCCCCGCTATCAGCTTACCAAAACCGCTCTGTCTTGTTCCGTTACACGCGTGGGTTGACTTCTTCTCCCGAAGACGTTGCCCATTATTCAGCCACATCCCCTCCACATCCTCTTTCGTCGACGGACAAATAATTACATATTCTCGACCGTTTTACCGTGATAGTCAAAAATGGCTAGCAGGGTAACCGACTAGCATTACAACCATGTCAACGGTTTGTCCGCGGTTCCTACGGCAAGAGAGGCAGGACAATCACGTGGACGTCTGTAGTATGTGGAACTCCAAGTAACATCGCTACGTGTCTTTATCCTAATGGAGCAGCCAAACAACAGATGTTATTTGACATTTGCAGCACATAGCATCACATCTAGCTGCTTGACCTGCAGCTAGATGTGATGGTCAGGGACGATGGAAAGCTGCAGAGTCCCCGCGGGGTTCCAGGTCAGCACCTCGGACAGCAACACGTCACAATGACGTCACCCCGGGCGAAAGCTTTTTTTCTTTTTTTCATGCACTGGACTAACGGAAAGAAATCATAAAACGTGCACATTTTGTTGTTTATTTTACAATACTTTACTCTTTGTAATTTAAATCCACAATAAATTTGCCGTATATCTCGGCCCCAGAAGCGATTCCATACAACAAATCGTCCAGTTTCTTTCCCATCGATGTACTGGATATTTTTACAGGGACGGTTTTGTTCATTTACCATTCATAGTCTGTTCTATACAACAAGGTCATACAAACCATGGTGGACCTTTGCATTTTTTTTTCTGTTACAATTTAACTTCAAAATTCTCTCTGTAAAAACGTTCAACGTTTATGTCAACAAAATGAAACACTTATTTGTAACCTGGCTGCATCCAATGAACAGATTTCTCCTCTGGGAATGATGTATGCAAACAAAACACATTTGATGAGTAAATGCCTCATTAGCATATTCAAACATAACATTTCACAAACTGATAATACAAGGTATAATTATATGCATGTAGCAAATCAAGTGGGAAAATCGTGGCGGTATCTATCAGCAATTATTTTACATTTTCTCTTGAGGTCCTTTCCTTTCCTCCTTCCGTGTTTGTAATATATGTGTATATGTATTACAATATGTAATATGAATATGAACATTTTTGTGAAAAGGATTTTATTTGAATGTACAAAGATTATAATTATAAAATGTGTTTGGCGCTGTAGGGTCCCAGAGGACAATGCTATTTAGCCTGATGTCAAGTCGATGTTGTCCTTTATTCAGTCTTTGCTAATATTATTTGGAAGTTGTGTTATGGAGTGGAGACACGGTACTATAGAAAAAAACACAGCATTTATGCTCAATATGAGTTTAGTTGGATGTATCACCCAACACAGAGATAGGCATAGAGATTGTACACTGAAGAGGATATTTTGTCATTCACAAGGTATTGAGGCTACGAATATTTTAGTCTTACAAATTTAGTAAGTGTTTAACAAGCTGTGTTAACAAGTGTTGCATGCCTGGAAGTCAATCAAATCCCAATATGTTGTGCTCAATGAATCCAGGGGAAGCAACTGCTGCGGTCCGTAAATATAGCAACATCATAATAAACCCTTGACCATTTCACTCGTAGCTGCTCAGCAGGTGTTACATCAGATACAGCACAATAAGATGCTTAAACCAGTGTCAGTTAGAAAGACAACATTTAAATTGATAGCAAATAACAACATTGGCTACATAACAAAACAACAATATTTGGAATGGTTTTCATTTGGTATTATTGTTTTGACAGGTTGAAATAGTGGTGTTTCATTTCAAATACCGTAGCACCATTAAGGAATATACAAAGGCCAAAACAGAATTAAAATACTGTCATGGACTAAGTGTTTTTGTAAATGTCTTAATGACACGACGAAAGGTCCATGGGTCATATTCAGTCATCCCATCTCATATCAAAATAATGTTGGATACATTCAGCTTAGATGTTCTTGATTTGGCTCACAACATATGCTCACATCGGAGGGCAATATTTCCAAACATCATAGCGTCATCAACAGTCTTGAGATGACTTTTTTAGGGAAATCTCAGTTCAAAACCGCATGCAGGGCTTTCAGAGCATTTCATTGGAATCTTTCTCACGCAGCACCCTCATATGCCGGCTTTCATGTCTAAGATTGGGACAGCGGGTTGCGGCTCCTGTAAACGGGATTACGCTATGAAGGCAACCTCCTCGGTAAGAACCCAGAGTCTCAGAAAGTGCCTCTCTAAAGAGGATTCAGTAGGTAGCAGGCTACACCTGGAAGCCAGTCCCAAAGTGTCTGATCTGCGCGTCAGTCATAGACAGATAGGTGGTCCTCATACTGGGCGAGTACTGCAAGGGAAATGATTGAAAAACAACATTTAGAACATCTGCCTTCATACAACATCATGTTGAAATAAAAATAGTCATTTAAACAGTTTAAACTTCAAGTTTGGAGACTATTTCTTTTCAATCTGAGCTGCTCTTTAATTAACAGGTTGTGTGGAATCAGGGTGGCACTTTAATTCAGCAGGGGGGCTTAAAGAGCAGGTGAAGAGAGGACAGAGGGCATGAATCAGGGCGGGGGGGTCAGAGGATTAAGTTACACTCACATAAAGCCCTCTGGGGATAAAACAGTACCGCAAGGTCAATGGTCACATAAATGATGTAGTGTACGGGGCGTTAGGAGGGCGTCGGGGTTTTAAGGTTAAAACATTCTGCACAGCAGGCAGGAGCACAAAGGTTAGCCCACAATGCGTTTTGAGGGGCGGAATGAAAATTAAATAATAAAAATCAGGGAAGAAGTTAAACAAGGATAAAATCCTACGGTTTTTAAATGTCTGAATAAAAGATGAAACAGAAAAAGGGTTAGTTACAAAACAGTGGTGAATATTTAGCAGTTGGATGAAGGTTTAAGAGAGGGTCTGAATAAAAGCATGAGAAAAATGCAGCTGACACAAAAGAAAAAAAAAAACTTCTTTTACAACAAAATGAAAATAACATGCTGGTACCTGAAAATGTGTCACAATGGTACACTAAAATCAATGGCCTATTCCACATTCTCACTCTTTCTTTTCATCATGAGGTGTTTTCAAGCTGTTTTCTACACTACAGAACAGAAAACTTAACAGAAAGAAAAACAACCCGAGATTTAAAATTCATCATCATCTATCATCTTGCTTCATCTCTGCACGCCGGCTGCAAGCTTTTAGACCGTGAGTTATATCACTTTACTCACCGAAAGCACCTGGTTATTCCACACATATATAATGTACGTGTTAGTCTTAGCAATACGATTAGGAAATGCAATCCAAGGCAGTGGTGAATCAAACATGAACTCGTGCTCAGAGGTTAGTGGTGAGAGTGTGTGTCCGCACACAGCGATGCCGCTGAGCTTAGAAGTGTATGCACCTCCGTATACGGCCACCAGAGAGCAGTCCCCCATCACCTGCAAACTCTCCTCACTAACTGTTGAATGTGTGAGGTTCTTTACAGTGTACATGCGTGCATGCTTGCTGTTAGTGTTGCGGCCGTGCTGAGGTCAGTGGCGTCCTCATCGTCATCACACTAGGGACACTAGCGCCTCGTAGGGCCAACGCACCGAGGGAGGTGGGGATCCTCTCCCTATCAGCGGCACGTTCTCATAGCGAGGACTCCCTCCAAAGAGCATGGACTGATTCCTGTAACGAGGGGGGGGGGAGTAAACAGTGAAAATGTAAGAAATGAAGCAGACAAATAGTCAAATGGGGTCATTGCGTATTGATCTTACATGTATTCAGGGGGTGGCATGACATTAGAGGCGGATTGTGAAGGTGGATGCAGGCTGGCCTGGCTCCCGAGGCTGCTGGTAAAACTACAGAAACTGTGGATGTTGGACCGTCTGGGGTTGTAGGACATTCGCCTCGCTTCGGGGTTGAATGGATCCTCCTCGTCTATGTCATCAAACACTTTGTCTCTGGATGAAGTGGTAGACGGACCCACACACAGAAACAGAGAGAGTGCCGGCGTTAGCACTATTTGCATTGTCTACAGTGCGTAATGGGATACGGGGATCCCGTGGTTCTGACCTGCTGTCCATTAGCCTCCACACTCTAAAAATGGCGCACAGCATTGCGGGGAGTGCGCAGGCAGCCAGCAGGGAAAACAGAGAGAGGTAGAGGAGCCCTTCCACCCCATCATAGCACACACCCATTAGGGCGTCCAGGTAGTCCTAGAAGAATGGAAACATGTGGGGCGGTCAGTTTTTGTCAGTGCACAGTAAAAGTATTTTTTTTCAAAGAGTAGCTGATGTTAGCGGAAAAAACAGCCTTTCCCAGATGAACATGTTAGAAATGCACTTTATCCACAAGGACACAACGCAGTGTTTTTCCATATGCTGCTCTGATGACACGCGGATAACAAATGCACTCTTTGCTTGTTTTGACTAACAAGCTCTGAGAACACTCTCGACGTTTGCTTCTTTGTGTGTGCTGTTTTCTTCAAGTCTATTAGAGCATTCTAAATTCGAATGTAAATAGCATTTTTTACTTGAATGCATGTGGACAACTTGCACACCTTTTAGGCGCTGAGATGTCCTATTCCCTTTGCAGAAAACCCTCACAATCTGGAACCTGCAAATGGTAGCTTTAAAGTGGCGAGAAACGGGTTGGTGGGTAGAGCCACGTTAGCAGATGCAGAGTGCACTGACACGCGTAAAAACAGGTCGACCTGTGTTTAAAAATCTAGTCTAGTTGGTCCTCTAATTGCTGTGCGCTACGCTACTAAATACCTTATTAAAAAGTGTCCTGGTAGTAGTCCGACCTCACCTTATGCAGCCCGCGGCAGTCGAGCAAAGCTGTTAGCTGATGCAGACTGAACTCGGTAGAGTTCAGCAGTCGCTGGATCCCCAAAAGGTCTCTCTGCATGAAAGAAAAAGTATAAAAGAGATGAGAGAATGTCACACATTTCCTGTGACGTCGTGTGACAGAGCGTCGGCCGGCCACTTACCTCAGCAGTGGGAAAGACGGGCACGGACAACTGCAGCAAGCCCTGGATCTGGATTTGCATGGTGGTCAGAGAACGCTGACAGATTGTCAGAGACTGCAAGAAACACATCGTCGCCCACGGACATCACGTGCGCAGACATCCACGCAAACAAACAAAGAGAGAGGATCATATGAAGGAAAGCGTTGTTTGGTTGCAGCATGTCAACAAGTAAATTGGTGTTGAAAGAGGATTTCTAATGCGCTTAGGACACATTTCTTTCCAGACAGATTAGCCACCATCCGTCTCACCCAACAGTCCCCCCCACCTCCCCGAACCCACCCAACCCAATCTCACACGCAAACAAAAGAGCAATATTCATATCAACTAGGCCATCATAGGAAAAGATTATCTTTCCCCACTTAACAGGCATCATTTTAATCCCTACACTGTGATTATAACAAAGCATGCAGATTTTAAATAAATATCGGTCGTGGATTTATCCATTGTGAATTACCTCAGTACTTTCACTACAGTAACAGCACTGCTTATGAATAAAGCAACCGCTGAATAACTATCCCAACTAGCCCAACTATGGGAGAACCTTGTTTGTCAGTTCTCATTCACTCTCCATGTGCTCCATGATGTTACACTGGGTTCAGTGATGGATCAGGCGATCATGGAGGATGACTGTGTCGAAAATTTGAACCCTTATCTGGTACACTTGGTTATTGAGATGACCTCGCCTCTTACGAAATGATTTGTCACAGCCATTCCAGCCTCAAAATATGCAATTTTCATCTAGTTGTAAATCGTTTGTAATTAAAAAATACAATGGAAGACAACTATAATGTTTTCACATTTCAAATAATATGATAAAATAAAACGAGTCTCCTAAAAATGTGTTTTGTCTTAAATCTTTCTTTAGTCATACAAGAAGTGATGGACTGAGACAGAAACAAGATGAATTCCTCATTCTCCTTCCTAATATTTTTCAAGACGCCTCTGAATAGTAGTTATCTTTCTGTATGATATACAGTAAATCAAATAAATAAAAAGAAACGTGTCTTGTGAGAGTAGCCCAAGGCAGAGATTATGAACAGGGAAAAGATACAGCTAATCTTAGGAGAACGGATTAAGAAAAAGGAATATTCTTTGATCAAAGTTTATCACTTTAGGTAATTAAATTATTAGTGGGGTTTCATTTTTCAGAGCTTATGTGATTACGGCCTGACGATGATCTTAACAGCTTGGCATTTAACAAGGAAAAAAACAAAAAATGGAAATACATTTTTCAGCGTGCGTAAAATGAATGTGTAAACTGAGACATTGAGCATTTTGTCAATACCTGCTGAAAAGGGTTTGGTAGATTCGGGCTGCAGAACAAATAATAGTGTGCAACATCTGGAGGGTGAGAGAAATAGGAAGACAGGGGGAGAGATTAGCACTGAGTCTTAAGATCCAATGACAGAGAGTTGGTGTCGGTGTAATTCTGTTTGTTGAGATGAATCACCTGCGCTGAGGAAATCCTTGGTTTGGTTAACAATAAACTTGTCTGGAGACACACAGAAGTCACTGGTGCCCTGTAGGAAAACAACAACATGATGTAATCTTGCGAGAGTACGGACCAAAAACAAAGTGAAATATTTATTCCAGCTATGATCTAGATCCGATTTATTGTGCTGCAAACCGGGTTTGCACTGGTCAGTTATTGTTAATCTTTCAAACAACACAAACGCGTTGGCTGAGAAATTTTTGTCCCCCATTTAAATGGGCAGTGAGGAAGCCTGTGAAATGATGGTATCGCCACATGGGCACGCTTTGAACTGGAACACAGAGAAAAATGTCTGGTATGTAGGGACTGGCCTCGTGCTTGTTCATCATGAATTCGTTCTTTGATGACCTTGGATGAAATCTACTACATAACTTCATGCTCTTAAAAACACGCATGAAGACCTGCTAATGGGCGTGCATTAATAGTTGGAGGTCACACGGTCTCTCTGCAATCCCTCCCTAGAACATAAAAACAAAACAAAAAATGACTTATAATATTTTCTCATAGATTTGAATGGTTGCTAAGTTGGGGAAAATAACAGGCTGCTGTTCGAATTGAGCAATTTCAAAAGGTATCAAGAAATCTGCTTTGCTGCAGAACGAAACATCAATGCTTCGCGTCTTTTACTTTTAATTTAATTCTTAAATCCACTGTTTTTCATGTCAGCCCCAGATATTGTTGTTCGGGGTCTCTCATTGTAAAGTACAGCTCAAAGGAGTTTAAAAAGCAAATTGCATGTGAACAACCAAGGTTGCAACTAAATAACACGGACGGAAATGCAACTCTATGGCAAGACACAACGCATAATAGGTCCAAATAACCTTGGATTTCCATGTACACTTATTCTAACTCGATTTAAGATTAGCGACACCTCCGCACTGGACGGCGTTCACATGACATTTATCCTCCGCAAAAACTGTACTTTTAGGACGTTACTCTTCCTCACTATCTCATTATACAAGCAGGGACGTTTTGTTTATGCTTCGTCTCATCAAATATGTATGAATTTATGAGCATTTTCTAGGCCACCACCACATCCACGATCTACCTTCCTTTCAAGACACAATATTTTTGCATTTTTTGAGTAAAGACGTGCAAGTGCAAGAAGTACTGTTTCGTACGGTCCTATATGCAAATGATTTGACTGAAAACTGTGGTCTTTTATAAACCGCTTCTGTGTGAAGGACTTTACCGATTAATAATAAGGCAGGTATTCTTCTAACAAAATTTACCGAAGCCCCCGAAGCCCTGATCGTTGACTTTAGTTTGGAGAACAGCAACAGTCTGACAGTGACAAAGATGTGCATTCTGGAGAAAGGCTGTGCTCAACTGGTTTGAATATGGGTTCATGCCCTTCCATAACGTGCTAAACTAAAACACAGAAAAAGCTGTTCTGAATCATTTGTAACAAGGTTTTACACCTGCGGAGATGCTGCGCATTCACAGAGACTTGTCTGTATTTCACCCTTGTGTACTTAATCCGAGCTTAAAACCAGCTTTCAACCCCTCTTCTGCTTCATTCTCGCCTCCCTTCGCCTCACTTAAACAGCTGTCCAGATGTAAATTCCTGGGTGATAATCCACAGAGAATAATCACGCAGGAGGAAAGGAGATGGAGGGGAGGAGACGGTGGGAATGGAAGAACGCTGGAAGTAAAGGGGTTACTCTTTGTATTCCCCAGACAGTGCCCCTAATATGAGCTCATTAAACACACTAAGCCCAGATGCACCGAACACATGGGGCACCGACAGGAAGACGGAGCAATCTGTCAGGCATAAGGAGGAGGACTGAATGACAGATGAAGCGGAGCACAACAAAAGAAGAGATTTTGAAGAAAGCAGGACAAGCAATTAATGCCAGAAAGAGATTTATTTACAACGATAGGGCTAAAGGTTGATAAACCTAAAACGCTTGGGACTTGTAATCCGCTTTACTGCATGACTGACCATAGAAAAGTACCCACTGTTGACTAAACAAACAGATGCAGATACTTTAACGAGGAAAGATGTGCAGGAAAGAAATGGCAAGCGGGAAGCTGAATACAAGAACCACCACTTTACACTACTAAAAATATGGAACGCCATCAATAAATATGTGAGAAGCAAGTCAGTTAACGTTCAAAATAAAGACAACGTCTTCTTACCACAGCTGTAGCCGTTCCCGCTCCTAGTGAGGCCCAGCTTAGGATCATAGACAGCAATGCAAACGCCATGATCCTGGAGGAAAACACCAAACGCGAGAGAGAGATTGGGGAGACGGAAGCAGATGAGTCAGCTCGTCGTCGTAACAATGATCTTCCGATCTTTTTCACTTTTTCATTTGATTTATTCTTTTTAGCGTCTCCTTCTGCCTGAAGACAGACGTCCAATCGTGCTTTATCTGGTGCACTGTGACCAGACGAGACAGAGGGAATTATTTTTATTACGAGGGTTATATGAGGGTAAATTAACTCATGACTCCATCCAGAATTGACTCTTTAGCTCTAAAGAAAGATGTATTCGGTTCAGATATGTGTGATTGGAGCAGATGTCTCACAACTAGATAATGCTAATTGAAGTCAGGGGCCTTTTGATTTCTGCGTTTGGTCATTTCTGTTCTGTTGGATTCCAGTAGCACCGTTTTAATTGGCTGCCGTGGTGGTTTTATGAGAGAAGGAAATAAAATAAAAGCTCCCCACTATTAACCACAATTTCTTTGTGATCACTGTCAAGAAAAAGCGACGCTATTTTACTGGGATTAACCAGTAAAAAGAGAAAGAATGGATGTAAACAGCTTGCAGATGGCTTCGTGTTCTCAACTCACTTCTCAGACCTTCTTGAAAACCCCCATAAAGTAGCCTGAGAGCACTTAACAATCAGCTGCTTGTGCGATCAATAAGCATTAGTGAGGTCCAGCAGAGAGAGATGTGAGGACGGATCCTGGGCATCAACTGATAGCACCGTCACGTAGGCTGCACTAAATTGGGCAAATGGGATCGGAGGTCCGACTGTGCATATGCTTGTCGGACATCGATGTCGGTTTAAATGATTGGTTGCAATTTTCTATCAAATTCCTAATCTTTCCATTTCTTACTTTCTATTGTTAACAGGAGAAATACTGTATAGGATATGAGATATGGAATTTACATTCAGCAAACCGATCAGTCGGTTTGATGGAGCATAAACTAAATCGTAGATTGGCCTCGTAGAAATAAAACGAAATTCGCAGAGAAGACGGGTACGGTCTTGCTATTATCTGTGCTGTTTGTAGATGTAGAGCTAACGCCGGGGCTGTTAACGGAGGGGCCGATGTGGAGCCAGTGAGGCAGAGTGCTGCGAGAGAGAAAAAACCTTACTCACAAATACATATGTACACATTCACACTGGGGGTACCTACGTGATGAGCAGCCATCGGGACTGCTTGACCATCCCCAAGCACATGGCCAAGCAGATGACCAGATCCAGGATCAGCAGCAGCAGATATGTCAGCCATCTACGAGACAGCAGGCATTAGCACAACAACTCTAGTTGATCGCTTTCCCTTGAAGTGAGTCCACAAACAAGCCTCGGAAGTGCTGGCCCGGCATATGTTCGGGACCCAAAGTGTGAGATCTGTGCGCTGGACAACAGCTTTCTTGTCTCCTACTTAGAGCCCATCTGTTTCAGGTAAATGTTCCGCCTGTTGGCTAAATAATTCAACACCACAAAATCCATATGCATTAATTTTTCAAGCTTGTCAAATGTCCTTCACAGGCTTGACCACGTGTTGGGTTTTTCTGACCAACGAAACACGTGGGAATACTCGGGGCTCAGTCTTAACTTCACGAGCCCCGCTGGCGTTATGAATCTTCTAGCAAAAATGACGCTGATGTTGAGGAGGGCGAATTCGGAAGATTCTGGCTGTGCAAGCATTGTAGTAAATCTGTACCCCAAGGTCGCTTGAGAATATGGATTTTGTCACACTATGTGAAGAATTCTAGAAGTTCACTGAAGAGACGTTGAAAACAGACTGCTCACAGAGGAGGGAAGACGGTCGGAGATAAACACTGAAAGAGGCGGCGTGCTACTTTATCTTCGAGAAACAAAACTGCGGATCATTTGTCTGAGCTCAGGGACCGGGAGGAATACAGAAACAGAATAAGGGAAGGGAGGATATGATATTGGAGAATGGTCTCACATCTTCCTTTATTCGAGTAACACTAGGTTGGCCAAAACATTTGCTGTTCATCAATAAAGCCCAGCCAAAAAAGCATAACTCAATTGCTGCATGAAATTCAATCAAAGCCCATGAGAGTGTGTGTCATAATGCACAAAGTAGCTACTGTTGTCCAAAAGAAGATCTGGTGTCATGACAAGATGGAACAACACCACATATGAGAATGTGCATGCATGAAATTAATAATGTAATTATGTCAGAACAATAACAGCCATACAGCAGGCCAAAGGTCAGAGGCAATTATTATCACTAAAGCTGTGTAGCAAACAAGAAAATATGGCTCCTTGTGTTACTTTCATACAGAGAAATATTTTGATTAGAAAAATACATAATAGTCTTATTTCACGGTTGAAGTTGGGCTTCATAGTTCATTTTACTGTCTATCGTCTATTTTTGGTCTATCGTTGCACACGTACTTACTATACACACGCTAAATACAGGTGTACGCGGCGACTGGCATGAAGGAGCCTTGAGGTCATAAATCCCGAGTCATCTGGTCCGAGTCCTTTTCAACAGTCCTTTTTAAAACTACAACATGTGTCGTCCCTCACATTCCTTATGTAATCTAAAACATGCAGGTAACTAAAATAATTGACATATGCATTGATACTAAGCAAAAACAGCTGCAGTGGAGGTTTTCTTATAGGCCTACTGCCCATCTGGTAGCATAGGTTCGAATTCATCAGTGTGTAACTGTAGAGTGCAGATCTCACGTATGCCATAAAGCGTGGTGACAAATATAACTCAACATAAGTTGTATCGAATAAATCAAGGTTAAACGAGGTGAAGAAGTAGCAGCACTTCAGTATTTAGTGTGTTGCAGAAGGACTGATTTACACTGCAATTTATTCTACTCAATCTGCAACCTCCTGGGAAGGACAGGAGTTATGGGATGAATGTGATTAGATGAAATCAACTTCAAGTTGCCACAGACCTCGCTCACGCGCATCCAAACAAGCCCTGTGTCTATAATGTACGTTGAACAAATGCTGTTGCAGAAGTAACGCAGTGTCCTAAATCTTTTTCCTGTGAGACTCTCATTCCAATTCAGTCCAAAAATGCTGTAATGAACAGGTTGCAAATGTGAGACTTCACAGCATAACAACACTATTAAGTTTTACGTGCCGAGGAATAAAACAAGCCACCAACGCTATGAAATTACACTCACAGTTTGGAGCAGCAGCCGTTGGAGTCTCATAAATTACCATCGGTCTCCTAAATGAATGCTGGATATTTTATTCATTTGGACTACTTTGTTGTTGATTTATTTATTTTTCTCTCTCTGTTTATTGAATTTCAGTCTTGGCCTCTCAATTTTTTTTGAAAAGCAAGTTCTAAAGAGAGAACCACATGATAGTAATAATTGCAATCACTGTGAGCTGTTGTCTGGGGGTAAGGAGATCATTTGTGGTCTAATAGCCACTCTGCCATGCACAACACTCTGTTAAAACATAAGCATCCTAAACTGCACATTGGGCAATAAACTCAATTTCTGCTTTCATTTATTTAGCAGTCGAGAGAAAATAGCTTTTCCGGCCTGCGTTTCAGAGGGAAGATCAATGAAATCCCATCTGCTGTCTAGTATGGATCACTTATATTCCCACTCTGACGGGCGTGTTCTGCTCAACCAATAACAAACTGCATTAGATGGTGACGATCACTGCAGGCTCCACCGACCTGTAATACTCGATGAAGGCTGTTTGGTCAGCAATGGCCGACAGGTCAACGTTGGCCTTCTTTATATCCGGCAGAGTAGTCATCTCGCGGATTACGTTGTTGACCATCAGCGTCATGAAGCGAAGAGCTTGGAGGTATTCGATCCTCGTGGAAAATATTTCGTCCAGGCGGTCCAGGTGCGTCTTGAGTACCGTTTGAGCATTAGCGAGAGATCCTGCAACCTGGAGGATAAAACGAAGATAAGAGAACAGAAGAAGCGAGAGGAAGAAATAGCAGTAACAGAATAACAGAGAGACGGAGGTGAAGCGGAGTCAGATAGAAAAACAGAACACAGAATGCTTTCATAAACACATATATTAATAAAAAGGAGATTGAAAATATAGAGGAAGGGGAAATAACCTAAAAGAGCACTCTCTTGAGGGAAATATTAACTTTTCTTCTCAACCGTGTGTTGCGTTCAGGTAAACAGTGTTGGAGTGGAATACTAATAACAATATCAGGGGGACAACTTATCACAGGGGTCTTTGATAGTCAGAATGGAGGCAGGAGGCCCGCCGGAGAAGGGTAAATTCATTTGACTCTTCGGTTTGAACATAATCAATGTGTTTCACTTTCACACCCTCGTTGGAGTAAGAAACAGGTCAATTTGACAGGAAGAAATAGTTCCTCCACATTTAGAGTTCCTCGCTGGCAGCGAGGCCCACTTAGTGTACACAGGTGGTTTACAAAAGGGCACTAAAAGGTGGAATCAACTGCAAATACGTACTTCAAACCTGTTGTTGCATTAATTGACACTTAAATCTCATGTTATAGACGGATTTAACATTTTAGGAAAGAGGCACACTCGCTTTCTGAAGGAAAGTTGAATGAACTGATGATGTCAGGCTGTAAACCTTCTCTGTCAGGGCCCCCTTTGAGGATATAGGAACATTGTAGGACCCCCCCCTCAACCGCACCTCCCCCCCATTCCCAGCAGTCCCTCTTTCTTCATCTGTCATCTTCCCTCTATTACACCTATGACTTCTTTAATAACACAGGCAAGAACTGCGAGTAAGGCTGTTAATTCCCACGCCACGGGAACCCACCACGGAGAAGATAAAAAAAACGTATGCACCTGTCAGTCGCCCTGACGCTGTAACATTTCAAACACTCTTGATTAAATTCTAGGGAGTTGAGAATGATAATGATTTGCAAGCAAGAAAGAGTGTCAAAGTGGAGATGAGGCGAAGGAAGCTACAGGCCCATCCTCCACTCCCGAACTCCCTGGGGCGAATACGTGATTGCCAGTAAACTGCTCTCAGACGCCACCTCTATGTTCATCATCCCTCACAGCTCCTGCCACAATGCCCCGAATCCTATCTGCAAGCCTGTACGGCTTGAGTGTAAGAAATGGGATCCATCGGGCTAGCTGCTTCGGGTGATCTGCATTTCCCTAATCTGGACCGTCCCGTCTACTCTGGAAATGGATTGAAGCTCACTCTTACTGAAAGCTGGTCACAAGGAGGCTGCTCCGCGTTGGACGTGCCTGTTAAATGAAACTCAGTGATTTAGGGCTCACTGCAGCAATGCAAGTGCCAATTCCCACGCAACCGAACCGCTTCGCCTCGAGCGATTTAATGTATCTGAGATGTACTGTATTAACTGTGACAATAATACAATAGTGTGTATATATAATCAAAACAGTAAACATTGAGAAATACCCTATGAATAGAGGCAGTCCGAACAACTGAAGAAAGTAGCAATCACAAGTTTTTTTTCTTTTCAAAGAGGAAGAGCTAAATAAAAAACTGCAACCAGTCGCAAATTGAATGCGCAGATATTTTGTCATTTCTGGGCGGCGCTGACGTGCTCTGAATATTGCAGGCGGAACGCAGGAAATGAAGCATGGATAAAAGGATACCTGCAAACAAACAAAAAAAAAACCTTCAATAGTGGGAGACAGAATGGTCCTTCCGATCACATCTTTCCCAAATATGGACCTCGCAGTGTGTCAGAGTGCATAATGTGTGATAAGAAGAGCCTTAACAAGCCATCAGAAGTGCCAAACAGCTTTGAGTGTAAACCACTAACCTCACAGGAGCCTCGCAAATCACAGATATTTGGTTGCCAAAGTACTGTGTTGGGATTTTTTTTTTTAATTTTGAACCATCCACTAAGGAAACCAATGAATATAAGTAAAGAAATAAAAAAGAAACTCTCTCAATCACCGAATAAAGCAGCTTCGGTTTTATCCAAGAGACAGCCGGCCAGCTCATCAGCTCTGTAAGTGGAGTCCATTACATCCGGCTATGATCCTGCAAGTGAGGAAGCCTTTCTTTCCCTTGGGATCATATATGTTTCTCTCTCCATGGTATACGTCATGCTACAGGATCAAATCAATACCAAGTTACTGCAGAGAAAGTCAGCGGCAAGGAAGTGAAATCCTCAGAGCTGAATCACATTTTCCTCCTGCAGCACAAAGAAGCTATTGTCTTGCAAACTAAACCCCCTTTTTCCAGATTATTTGTTATACTGCTGAGCTCAATACAACTGGAACTTGAGGTATATTGTATACATACCCGATTCAACGTTGTAGTCATTTTGGGGGATGTGACTTGCAATGCTGTTTATTTATATTGAATTGTACTTCAATATTCGAATATTCACTTATTTCCAAACGTTTATAACACCAGAGAGAGAGGATGAAACATTCCACAAAGTTGAATCATCCCCACTCTAAAACAGTTTACAACAATAGAATACCATTTTAACTTCAATGCAGGGGAATAATAAACTGGCGAGTAGATTTTGTAACGATCCCTTTCATGCATCATGACCCAGATTGTCATAAATTCTCACATCATGTGTGAGCTACAAAAGGGTTACATTTCAATCTAAAGCAAACCCGATGAAAAGAGTGTACACAAAGCTGTTTGGGTCGATACATTAAAACAATATGTGTGTGTATATAAGGCCTTTAAGTTGATGACACGCACTCACACACAGTATAGATAATACCACTGAGAGATGCAAAGAGGAGAGGCTTTACATCCATTAATGTACTGCAGATGCAGTTAATCCTCTTCTTCCTCAATGGGATTATTGCTTCTGGCAGGGCCTCGCTCTGACTCCCTTACTCTCCTCCCTCTTCCCTCTCCCTCCTACCCTCTAAGCCCCCCCAAATCCCTCCCCCAAAATGCAGGTCAGCAGTTGCATAGCAAGAATCCCATATTTACAAATCCCGATGCAGCAGTCACCTCAATTTCTCCACTTTCTGGCAATAAGCGGATACGGACCCCCCACGGTGAGGTGCTGGCTTTGGGACAGTTTGACACCCCCCATTAGCTGAGGAGGGATTCTGGTGTCTGCCAGCTGTCAATCGCTTTTTGGAAAAAAACTGTGATTTGTGTCATTCTAGCTAATCAAAAACACTAGAAATTGAAAATTCACACTTTATTCATTCACGGGACAATGACACTAACATCATTTTCAACACTGGCGTATGTCCACTTCAATGACAACGCTTGATGTCTGTGATACGGCTGTGGACTTCTCTCACCATGTCGTTGATGCCACCCAATGTGTGATCGGCGTTGTAGAGCGAGTAGGTCAGCCGGTGCACCCCGTCGTTGGTCTCACTGTTACCATAGAAGCCCACTCCCACAGCCGAACTGGGTGGGGGAGAAATTCAGATTTAATGAGTAAAGGAAACAATTCATTCTCAGTTGTGTTATTCACAACTGCCAAAAGGGGAACACCGATGCTTTAGGGGAGATATGTATCATGGCAAATGCACTTTTATAGCAACAAAACAACCATCCAAAGGCCTTCAGGAACTACATGGGCTACCATGCAAAGTTGCACCTGCCCCCCCAGACTAACAAACACTCGAACCTTGTCATGTAGCTGCCCAAAGACACATGGACATGGACTAGTGGCAACCAAACTACAGGTCTTATGAACAAGAGGTCAACCCACTATGGCCTTGATATTGTTTTTCCCATAATCTTCTTCTTGCCATTGACCGTTTATTGAACATTCATTTATCAAAACATCCTATTTGACCTTCGTTTTTTTATACTTGATTAAGTCTAAAACCAATGTTGTCCTTTGCTACTTCTTTCACTTGGCAATTTTGTTTTGACTCTTTTTTTCCTCACACACACATTCTGAGCTAAACAAAATCAAACCGCCTATTTTCAGCAGTAACTTGTCATCCCATTCATGGCTAAGGTATGTAATACGCAGGACCCATATTTTTCCTTCCACTTTCCTGCCGTCATGTGGAAGATTAACGGCCTAACCCCCTGAGTCAGTGTACCCCTATGCCGGCCGTCCACAGTGACATGAGCGATGACACAATTTCATCATGTTTTACCTCCGTAGGGTCGCTCAACACAAAGGTCTGAGGCTAGCAGCGCGTTCAACGGCATTTAGGGGCATTTTCCTCAGCTTGAGGAAGAAGATCATCAATCAAACTTCAGATAAAAAGAAGTCAGAGGACAATTTGTGACAATTTCTGTGATACCACATGTAAAGACCAACACAAAGACAAAGAAACTTCATGTCTGGTTTAGTTTCAAAATGCTGCAAAACCACACAAAAAGTACCCAGTAGTGAGATGGACACACATCCTGTTAATGAGGTCATCCTCCACAGTCAGACCAAGATAATGAAGCATCTTCACAAGTTCATAGAAACGGTTTTTTTTAGCATTGAATACATCCTGTCAGGACGTGTGAGTCAGAGTGCTTATGTGAACAGTGTTTTTTCTTGTGTCCATTAGCATCATGTAAGCATAATGAATGGCCCTGAATGTGTATCTTCTATTAAACTTCTTCCCCCAGGTTATGATTAGAACCATTAAGGTTTTTCTCCACACAATGAAGTCTGAGCAAAAAATATACACAATTATATTATTCCATATAAGCAAAAATGCACTTCTGTGGTTTAAAAACATGCATTAATGCATTATTCAGCTGGTTAAAGACCTCAAGCTCAAAGCCTTTCAAGACATCTTTGTTCTGTGTCAAGCTGAACAATGAGCTTTTCACCCAGCCTGTGGCGAACCTAATGACATGTCAGCCACAAGAAAGACCCAAGTAACAACACAGTAATGACACAGGAAATGATGTGTTTATCGTATATTAGTGTTGTGGTTTGGATTGGGGCTGTGTGCAGCTGCTAAAGGAGAGCATGAGCACTGGCACTAGAGCTTATGTGCACTCCACGACATCCGGGGCCTTTGTTCCTGCAAGGACGGACCACTTCACAGACTGATGACTGGACAATTTCACGTTTGTATTCCAAACATGTTGGGAGCGGAACAAGCGTCCATCTGGATGAACAAGTAATAACAGATAAATGCTTTGATTCAGTGGAGACCTGTGAATTGCCGCTATAATAAATTGAAACGGGGGTAAACAGAAAAACGACACAGACAGGGAGGATTTTTAGAATATTAGATTTGTTTGCTATTGTTAACCTCAATTCATCCCCATTCATTCCCCCTGGGTCAGAAATAGAGGGGCAGCAGCTCTTAAGTCCTTTGTCTATTTTCTGCCGGGTGACTTAGATGTAATTCTCTTTGAGAATCATGCAGAATAAAAGCTGTAAAAAGTTTATAAATTCATAAATTGTCGAGAGATGAATATATACTAATGTCCCTTGGAACAAGGTTCCACAGAGAGCTTTTGAGCGCTCTGGGCACAGACCCGAGCCTCTTTGCTAAACAGCATCACGCTCAGTCACTTAGCAACACAAAAGGTCTTGTGTGCTGTAGCGGCTTGGTATCCACACAGAATGTTAACAAAGTTAAGGTCCGACACATCGATAAATGTCACAGGTTTGAGCGCACGACAACGCAAACCGAGTTGAGCCTTTTTGGTGACTTATTAGGAAGACTGCAGGGATTATTATCAAAGCATAATACCATAACCTAAAGTACAATCCTTTACAACACACCTGTGAAACAACACTGGACTACGATAATCTCGTAGAAGATCGGGTCACATCTAAAAGCGCCAGCGTTACGGTTCAGAAGAGCATTTGAATGAACCAGCAATCGGGGACAACGTTTTGGCGGCGGCTGGTCAGCTGAACAGTCAGCTGAGGGATTTAGGGGTCTGATCATTGAGCCGTCAGCTGATACGGGGCCCTGCTGACGATGACGATGCCTGCCAGAAGTATCCTCACGTGTACTTTGCTTACAGGTAGTGGAGCAACACATTAGAACTCTACCGTGGTATCAAACAGAGTGAAACCGTTTGACTGACAGTTTGACATTTAACCCCTGGGACTCACCAAATGATGAGACCTGTGACCACAGCAGACCAGGTGAGACAGCAGGTAGCGGGCCTTTTGGTGTCTTCGTCTACGTCCCTGCGGCAGCAACACGCGCAGGCCAGGCACACCGCCACAACCAGCAGGCTGAGAGCCAGACCCACGGCAGCTGCACACGCTAGAAGGATCAGAGACTACGGGGCAGGAAGGGGGAGAGAGAAAAGAGAGACGACACGCTGCATGAGTTGAGGTTGAGGCTAAGAACTTTTTAGAAGATTAGATCCCAAAAAATATCTTTTAAGAGTAGTATCAGCCAACACTCATGGGTAACGATGTTGTTGAGGTTAGCGTGTAGCTAGCTCATTCAAAGGGCATCATCATCAGAGTCTAAACTCCTGGGGTAGAAAAAGCCAACAGGGAATGTCAACCTTTTTGTAGCTGAGAGGGAAAAAGAAGTTATCCAAGGTCGTGGGAGGGGAGAATCATGTGACCCAATGGCTTTCATTCGGTCTTGTGATTTCTGAGCGTGCAAAACAGTCAAAGCCTGAACGGTGGAGAGAAACACTCCGTAGAGAAGCGGGGAATACTGGATATGTACATGAAACAATCCCCAGGGAGTATTCTCTGTGTAAATCTGTTACCAGTACGAACATAAGAGTTTGCAGATATATGTATAATTGGCAGTGTGCTCTGAGGCAGATAGAAATATGGCTTTGTTTGCATCAGAGGCGGATATTTCTTGCTTTGACACCAATCAATTTCTTATTGTCTTTTTTTCTCAGAGACAAGTCATATGACCGTTTGATAATAGTTCTTAAATAGCTTATTTTTCAATGCATCTAAAAGGACCAATCGATATGTTTGACTTTACATCTGCCTGCTGCACAAACATTGTTTTTTGTTTTGGCTGATCACTAAAGGTTCCCACTGGACTGGAGCATAAATCATCACCAGGGGGACTTACATTTAGTTGACTCAAATTGACAACATTGGAGCTCTTAGTTAAAGACAAGAGAAAGGCATGAAATTGTTTATACTCAAAAATATTTTTTACTCCAGTTGTCGAGCCCGCAAGTTCAGCATGTCTGTGTCTGTTCGAGGATAGGCACAGCTGTTCCTTGAGTACGATGTCTGTGACTAATTATTCCATTTAAATGACATTGACACTGTGGCTGAATTTAAATGATATTGTTTTGCATTTTCTTTGCATAGTCCTTCATTATTCAAATTCTGTTTTGAGTTGTGTCGTGCTGAGGCGTATTTGCCCTGAGATTTAGTGCTCAGTGTGAGTGAACAAGCATACGTTAATGAATACTGTATGGCTGGTGTGTGGATGAGGATTGCTTTACAAACCAAGACAAATGGTGGCTTAAAAAAGAAGAAAACAAAAATAATTTTCCCACTTCCCACTAATTTCAATCTAACTGGGCAGGAAAATAAATCAGTTGAGCCAGTGACCTACGATTGATTGTGTTTTAAAGGAAGTAGGTCAACACAGACACAGCGCTTCCTTAACTTACATTCTTGCCAAAGCTATAATCCAATGATTTAACAATTATTGGATTTTAGGGACACCTTTGATGAGCCAAGTGTGTAGAATATACAGTGGCTTCAACCCTGGTTAGATTTTCTGTCACTATGAATCAGTTTCCGGCCCTTTATTATGCTAGTTCCACTCTCTTCTCTAATTTTCCACCCCATTGTTTTCCAATTACACAGGCAGGCACTTCAATATCCGCAAGCTGCAATGCCATAACAAGAGAAAGGATGCATGTGAGGGAGGACGATGGAAAACAACTACAGTGTCTGCGATAATTGACCACAAAGTCATTGATCTTTTCTCTTCCCAAAAGGATGTTTGTATAAAGTACCTTTAAGTATGCATGCCTGTCTAATTTCATTAACCAGGTTGGTTCTCTCCACTACTTCTCTCAAAAGACAGCAGATGAGCATGTCGAAATGAAGAACATCAATTCTCCTCAGGCTTGAGGGGCCGCGTGAGCTCTATTGACCGCCAACAGTGTCCGTGACGACACCGTGCCACTCTTCACTCCTCGCCAACTAGTGTTCGGCTGTGCCAGTGGGACCCTGCTGGGATTCAATGACCCACATGGACCTTGGCACATGAAAAGAGAGGCACGTTAAAGGAGAAAAGCCAGAGATCCCTGGTAACGGCGTCTTCGTAAATGAACGGGGCAAAAGGGAGCAAGTAGGGCCAGGCGCGGACACACACAAACAAATAATTCATATTTCTTGCGAGGGCCGACAGTAATGGCTGTCACGAGTTGCTCTAAGATAAAAATGGAATCCTTATGTAACATTAACCTCGTCCAGTAGACCAATATGTCCACACATTTTTTTTAAATTTGATTTGCATTATCTGTCAACTGACATTTAAACACAAATATTTGATTTTGGTTTGGTGTCTTGTTTGGCAAGAGTCAGACAGAAAGAAGTAAAGAAGATGAAATCCTTAAAGTATAAGACAGCGATAATGAAGCGATTGACTGCAGATGGGAAACTATGGCAACAAAGAAGCATGAAAAGCCAAAATGCTTTTTTTCATCCCAGAGTTCATTTTATCTCGAATGACGCTGGTCCTGCAGTACACAATCAGTGCCCCATTACTGAACATGATTTTTCAAAATAATATTTTTAGACGGTGAAAAATATGTCTTATACAATAAAACAACCAAGAACAGGATTGATGGAAAGACCAGCACTCAACTCTCTCTGACAGACAGCAGGTTGTTTGTAGTGTTAACAGTCATCCAGTGTGTAGTTCTTTACTTTTTAAACTAACAAGACTGTAGTAGATCAAATAGTTGGGGTATTATATGTTACAGCTGTGTTTAAAAGTAGTAAAGGGTCTTGTTAAAAATCACGATTAGTTGCTTCTCTCTATGGAGAGAAGCAACTAATCGTGATTTTTTTCATGTTTGCAAATTTGCATACTCTGCAGAGTATGCAAATTTGCAAACATGAATGTTGTGTATTACCTTAAATATTACACATTACTGCAACACAAGTCATGTGTCATCACGAGAGAAGCGCCATAGGGGCTCGGCGCATGTGAGGGAGCTACGCGGATGCGTCAAAGACGCACAAGAGAAGAACAACAAAATGAACAAGAGTTTATCTCTCAACACAGTAGTTTGTCTAAAACAACTTTGTGTTAGAATCTAGATCTAAACATTTAGTTTACCACTTTCAGTGATCCACAAGGGCTGTGATTTATCTGATGCGATTCTTTTGGAACTACGTGCGCTTTTACGCGCAAGTGCATTTACCAACCTGCTGATAGCTCGTCTCCTCCGGCTTGAAATTGTTGTCGACCGACTGAAAAAAGAAATTGAAGTGGGGGAAATTGTGCAGCCAGTATGTCCACCACGGAGCAACGTAATCAAGTCTCGCAGTGGCCATTCTTGCTTGAAAAGACAGCCCACGCTTTCTCTCGAGACTTTGATAACCAAATATTCCCAGGTTTTGTAAAAAAAAAAAATAAATAAATAAACGCGACTTTACCAGAAGTTAAAATCACCACAAAGCATTATAGAGTAATTTCTTCTTTTGCCATTACACCCTCACACCCGCACAGAACGCCACTACTGCTCGCTGTGGTTCCCATGGTTCTTCGGAACTACTAAAGCATGATCAGCGTCAGTGCGGGTCAAACGTTCGTTTCCGCGGAAGTGGGGATGGAGTGACGCGTGGAAGCTGCCTCCCTCGGAGAAGGCGGGACAGACACTTAACAGCCTTGTAGGCCACTTTAAAGTATGAGCAGTGAAGGAAAAAAACACGGGCAGCCTCTATAATGAGAACATGAGCAAACAGCGAAGAGACGAACTGTGTTTGGATGTCGATGCGCCAACTTCTCCCTGTTGACAGTTAAAATGCTGATTACAGTGTAAAAAAATAAACAGATGTGCACCCTGGCAGGCAGAGCCTATTGGGGGGGGGTACACTGTTTATGACTTCTGCTGTTAATGTCTGACCTCTTGTGGACAACGAGGCACACTGAGGTTAACAGTGTGATCACAATGATGACGGGATGCACACACTGGGACAGTATTTGGCCAACCGTGCTTTTATTGATAGTGAGGTACTTTTCTTCCCTAGAAATGAAAACTGTATCAGATTCGTCACACTAACTGCATTACATGTACATGATCTTCATTTGTGCGGCAACACATTCCAACTCATCGTATGCTGGCTCTTAACTGGTCCTGGATAGCAAGTTTTTTTTGTAAAAACATTTGTGAAAATGTAACCAGGGAAGAGCAGTAAGTTGGATGGGTGAGTGTTCTGTGTTACAACACACTGGGTGATTGAGAATGTATAGTTACAGTATATTGGTAATCAGGACTGGGGCTGCCGAGAGAACGTTTGGCTTTCGTAGCTACTGTGTGATGACATCAGCCTCTGACTCACGTGACAATTCTGTTTATATTTCTGTTCATTTTTTTAGAAGAAAAGGTTTGATACCTCTGGAAGTGGCTTCAGCATATCTGAATTGGATCAGAATATTGTGTCGATTTACAAGAGACTCACTGTATATTGACATAAAATAACAGTCCGTTTGCGGAAAAGGTTCCACTGGTAGGAACAAGAGAATAAAATGTAATTTACATTTTGCCCCGAGGACGACTCGTGTTTTTTTTACACGGAATACATGGAGCAGTTTCAAGCACTGGCTCCCGCTGCAGTTATTTGGATTCTTTGATGCACCTCCACGGCCAGAGCAGCAAGAGAGTGTGCCCTGAGTCTGAATACTCTGAGTGGGTGATACTTGAAAGACACTGAATGAATATGAATTCTCGACTCTGCTCTGCCTTCACAAACAGTTGGATATGGTGCCGGGGAACTCTCGGGGGGGGGGATTGCGGTGCCAATCACTGTGGGGAACAACGTGAAAAAAGGGAATGGCATGAACACAAGCACCTCTGTCTGTGTCTCTTTAATTCAATCCGGGTGTATCAAGCACCTTTTCCCTGCTGTTCATTTATTCTTGTTATCTCGGTTGCAGACCAAAAATGTCAGACCCATGAATCACATTGCTGCACCACAAAGGTGTACCTCATTAAGCCCCAAACCCTACAACAGCCTTACTTCTTAATACATGCTCGTCAATCAAATTACAACTCTGAGTCTAATCTAAGTCAGTTGTGAGTGTACCTCTGGAAATCCATCTTTAAAATATTCTGTAAAACTTCAGGGGTTTGTTAAAGTATTTCACATGAATGTACACAGTCGCGGTGGGTTAATTAGCTTTGGGTAAAAGCCACGGCTGAAATGTTCATGCACTACTTATTCACAGACAGACAATGAGGCTGGACCATTAGGGGGCAGCCCAGCACTTTTCTGCAATGCAGAAAACTGTTCACTGTCCAGCGGTGTCTCTGGTCGGGTATCTGTAAAGAAAACCATCTCGACCCATCGTTGGTCAGAACATGTTGGCATAATACCGCCCATAAAGTGAGATCTAATCATAATGATGTCGGATGTATAGATCAGATCCATTACGCAACAATCTCTGGGGTCAGCAGTTTGAGCAATTGATGCTACAGAAAAGCTGCATCAAAGAGGACTTTGAAGTCAAGTCAACTTTTCCTGTGAACCTCAAAGCGGGGCAGTGAAGATGTGAACTTATATACGGAGTGGCAGGTCTCAAGGTCAGTGGTGCGCCAACAGCTCAATTGGAATGTTTTACAGAAGGCAAAATAAAAAAACCTGCAGAATATTAAATAGTGAGCCAAACATTCCTTCAGGAGCAGGTGGTGCTCTGACCTTGATTTCGGTGGGAGGCCAAAGTTTCACCCGGAGCTGACTGCAACCACCTTGAGAATAATGTCACGCCTGTGACTGGAATTACAGAAATGTGGACATTCCATTAAACCAGCTTTCATAATGTGTTGAATAAGAAATGTAAGAGATGCCTTGACACGGACACTTCTGGGATGTGTGCAGCGGTGTGCAGTGGTTTGCAGAGGCCATTTTAATGAAAAACAACAACAACAACAACAGTCTTCACAGTCAATGTTATAAACCGCAGTTGTTGCTTCTGCCTCATCATCGTGTGCTTAAGCGTCCTCGGCAAGCGCTGGATTTACATCATGATTGACTGTCTCCACAACAATTACAGGGACGATTGGTTCATTGAAAAGTGTTTTCAAGAGCCTCGTGTCTAGATCCTTTACTGGTGGGCTCCTTCCGCGGCGTAACAGTCACTGCTCAGTGGCGTGTGGAAACGTGTTGTATTGGACTTTTCCTCCTTCATGCTTATTGCTTTTTTGGGGGATTTGTGACTCAAACACCCCTTCTCTACTTTGAGTGATTTATACATAGGAATGAAGATTTATGTCTGAGAGCTCAATGTGCGGACATTATCCAATCAGACTGGGCGGCTGTGTGGCTCCTGAGATTGCATTAAAATGTAATATCAATGCAGCCGTTCAAAGGATATTGCCACTTGCGAACAGCCGGTGTCCTTCCCGTGCTGCAGCCGCATGTTATGATCGGGGGGGGAATTTGTCTATTTAGGTAATGTTTCATTGAGAAGATTGCTTTGGTAAATGAATCAAAAGTCGCCGACCATGTTTCATTTATTTTCATCAATGATTGGATGGAGAGAAAAAAAAAAAAAGTCAAAGCAGCACTGGAGACCTGAAAATAAACAAAAAAAAGCAAAGGGAATAACAATACAATCTGTCTCCATCCGTTCAGTAAATGGAGAATAATTTGTTTTCCTAAAGAGTGTCCTCATTACAAAAGGCTCAGGTAGCACTACTACTAAAGGTGCTCTCCTGAAGCTCAATTTAAACCCCTCTAAAGCATCTCTGCCCTCAAAATGTTAGAAAAAGGTGTAAAAAGAGAGAGTAAATGAGTTTTTTACAGCTTTGTGCTACAAGCATAATTCTGTGCCAGTCTGCGGCCAAGACATAAACTTTATAATTAACCCAACAGTTCATTTCTTTCTGACGAGACGACGGCCTTGAACCTGTGTCTTCCATTTGTTTTTCACTGGGTTTAAACGCTGTTGTGTGCAAATGCTCGGGGCCCCAAAGAAACCTTTAGAGTTCAAAGCATTCAGCACGGTCCCGAGAGATATCGCTCCGCATGTTGACTACTCTACTCGGCTTGCTTTTTCAAAACTGTGTGAGGTTAGTAATTTGAAATGAGAAATCTCAGCAATCAGAGCTGCTGTACGTCAAACGACAGTTTCTATGTCATGATGAATTAATTTATACAGCTGCCCAGTGCTGCCCTAAGTTATTTCATGCAATAAGGATTTTTGTGAGGGGAAAGAAATAAACTCGTATTGGCACAATTGGGCTTCTTTTAGTTACTGGAAAGAAAATTCCTACCATGCAAGTTATCCAATTACGGATTCACAGCAGTGCAAAGTCAACCGTATGATACAGCCGTAGTCTACTTTTTTTTTGCCTTTGTATCAAATCCAATCATTCCAAATGGTTGACGATGGTGATAATTTCAAAAGCATTGTATCGTTAGTGGGTCCATGGACTGGAAACAAACCAAGTACCTATGAGGAAAAGGAGAAGTTACCCTCTAAAGTTGCGGTAAATGAACAGCCCAACCACAAACTCTCATACATTACTCCATTTTACTGCCTCCAGAGCCCCCCGGCTGGCCTGCAGCGTGCTCCATGGGTCCCGGCACAGAAACCTTCCACACTCTGTGGAACGTGTAACCTTGTAATAAACTAATGATCATCTGCTGCTCATCAATGCTACACAATATTTAATTTCTCCCGGCTGCAGGCTACACATTTTGGTGAGTTTAATATGCTTAAGTTCAGAATTATCTTCTGCATAGCTGATGTGTCTCTGCCTGACGCTGCATATCAAGTGGGCAGCGTTACTCAAGCTTTATACATATTATTTATTCCGTGGTTTGTATTTTTTGTGTTATTAAGTGTTACCTAAATTGACCCCCATACCATCAATACTCACGTACAGGTATTCAATCATGCATACGCTTGTGTGTGGTTCATTTAAGTGGTTTATGAGAGCACATTTTCAGTTCAGGTGCGTTGCAGAGCGTCGTGTGCTAATAGAGAAAGAGAGAGAAATTGCCGGTCAATGTAGGTGAGGGGAGAAGTGTCGGATCGAAGGCAGGATCGGTATCCTTGTTGTCCCTGATGATTGGTCCTCCTCCCAGACACAACGCAAGGCTAACTCGAGAGGGCTGCACCGCGGATAACTAAATCATCTCTCCGTTAACGACAACACGCAGCCGGCCTCGCTCATTTCACACAAACAAAATCGCAAAGATCTATTCATGCCATCTTTTCCAATTTCGGCTATTGAATAACCGCGAGGCCTCGCGCTCACTCGAAACGCTCAACGAGGCAACAAATGAGTGCGTTTCAGTGGCACATGGGTAATGAATTCCAAACAGCTGACAACCATTACACATAATGGCCCCTGGTAAGGACAAGGTCTCAGATTCATTCTCAAGCGCCCTGTCTGAGTGATGGATAGGGACTCATTAAAGACTGCTTTGCGATACATGTGACAAACAGTATCGGAGCCCGAGTGTTGGAGAATGCCGTTGGGAAGAGAAGGTGGTGTGTGGGAGAGAAGTGATTACGTCATTACAGAGTAATGTAAAGCATGGGGGGGGGGGGGCAGCGGCGGTTGGGGGTACTTGATTCCCTACCACCAGCGGGGCTGTAGAACCAAAGTATTCCATCGTGGATAACGTACTTAAAAACGCATGCATAATTAAATCAGTTTAATCACTGAATTCTAAGTAGTTTTGTCAGTGTTTGAAATGCAACGTAATTGTTCAAAAATTCAAATCAATGGAGCGTGGAGTCAATGGGTAATTGGACGGATTGGGCTCTTGGTGGAATAATGTCCAATTGTTTCAGATGTGAAGGGAATATATAAAGCCACAGCGGAGGAAATTAAACATTGTCTCCCAATAATAAATTCTACAACAAACATAGGAGCATTTGGTTTGAAGAATTGTCCGGATATCGTCCTCAAAATGTTGTCCGTAAGGGTTGGACGTGTCCTACATAGGCATGTTTTCTTGAATCTGTAGTTTTTCAATTGTCTCTCAAGAGGTTGTACATTCTATTTGGTTGTCAAAGAGCCTGAGAGTGGGCAAGATTTGTTTTGTTTTGAATCAACCACATGGAATGCTTTTGTGTTTGGAGTTGCAATTTAGGTTAAGAAGACAGAGGAGCTGCAATCAGGAGAAGGCGTTAATCAATTTTCCTTGTTTATGTGTGTGTGCGTGTGTGTGTGTGTGCAAGTACATGTATAAAAACCTCTGCGAGGACCCAGTCTGTTTATTTATAATTCTGATTACACCATCACATGGAGGGATGCGCCTTGGAAAGAAGAAGAAACTTGGTGTAAGTCGATGTAATGTCACCAAAAGTTGGTGTGTGTGTAAATGAGAGGAGGCCCGTAAATAAAACCACCCACCATTAACACCACCCTCTTCACTACATGAAGATTATTCTTCATACCTTTATCGTACTAATCACTAGCATATATACATTTACATTTGCTAGAGATTTGCTACCCAATTCATGGAAATGCTAACTTTCACTTTCTTGGAAGGTAATTCTATTTTATTAGAATACTTGACAATAAAAAGGCTGTTCTTGTGCGCTGAGGATAAAGCAAACGCTACCTGCTGAAGCTCGGTTTTGGCAAAGTGATTCCCTTGGTCACTGAGTAATAATAGCTTTGTGCAATTTGTCAGCCTGAAGATTTTCCGTTGTGCGGCACAGAGGAGGTTTCTCACAAAGTTTCACTGAGCACTTTATTACAGCTTGTTCTTCATTACAGCGCAGGCTTTCGGCGGGCGATGTTAGTGCACAGCGCGTTTCCACCGAGCCCAACGAGAGAAGGAAGATAGATGGGTTTAAACTAAAGAGTTTTTACCTCGAACACGCCATCGCTCATCTTCACTAATCCTCAGGTTCACGCTGTACTTGCCGTCAAAGCGCCGCTGCCTGACAAGCGGCACATGGCACGTCTGGAATACAACTACGAGACCCCCTCATCAAATTGGATTCCACAATTCAAAAGGAGACACAAAAAGAGCGTCCAGCCGAGCTGTGTATTGTTGCTAGGAACTATTCATTGGCGAAATCGAAAAAATATTTAAAAAAAAATAAAAATGAAGAAGATGTAGAGTTAAAAGGAAGAACTTAATTTCTATATGAAGCACTGGAGAGGTGGGATGGAAATGCCTGGTGGCGGTTTCCCTGGGAGACGTCCCCTTCGGGGTAGGCAGCTTAGGACCTGCAGAGCTGGCAGCCCCACAGTGCACATCTCCATACTGAGTGGGGGAGCAGGTGGCCCTGTAAGCACCCGGGCTGCTATTAATTCGTGCAACTGTCTGGAAAATGAGCTGGTGATGTGAGTGAGAGCAAGTGAGTGCGCGGCTCTTCAATCCATACAGCTGTGTTTAAAAGTGATGGGAGGAAATCACAGCTGGGGGAATGAGCGCTTATCACGCGCTCCCATATTGAGAGCAAAGGGAGAAACCACTGCAGGCGACCATATGACACCAACGTGGCCTCCCAGGTGAGCCCCCGAAGCCAAGGCCCGCCTGTACCGCCCCTAACTAAAGCAGATGTGTGGTACGTACAGGGACAGGACGCAACGGGAGTGACACACACACACACACACACAGACGGGTGTTCTTGCAGATTGACTGTAGAAGCGCTGGAGGTGGTTCATTGTGTGCGAACGTGTAAAGGATGAGATGGGAAGAACTGATTTTAATTTAATAACCAGCTGTGTGATGGGGACTCCCACCAACCTATCCAGGGACGTGGGCCTCGGTACACTGAGGGTGGGGGAGGGGGTTGAAGGATAATAATGATTTGGCTCTCACAGACATGAATGGTATGATTTGTCACTGAAGACCGGTGGGAGCTGCCTTCAAGATGAAGGAGTGATTCCACCCCACGGAGTCTGCTGCTCCAATCAACCTCCATTCACAAGAACCTTGATCAAATGATGAGGACTAGAACACTCATTTTAAGTCACACCAGTGTACAATATGTCTTGTAGGTCTTTTAGCCGTCCTGCCAAGACTTACTTGTTTTTCTACTTGGGAGCAGGAGACAAGCGTTGTAAACTCTAGAAGCACCTTTTAAACTTTAATGGTCCGCATACAAATTTTGTCATCATTATTATTGCAATCATCACAATTATTAGCATTGTAATCGTCATTATTATCACTCTTTCAGTTGATTTATTTATCTGGAGTTTCGGACCATTGGGGATCATTTTAGTCCAATATTCAGTCTTATGCTCACCAAAAGAGAAATATCTCTATTTAGCTCCGCTATTCTTACCATCTATTTGGTGCTGAGCAGGTAGTGTGACTTTTTTTACTCAAACTACAATAGTTATATATATATATCTCATGCAAGTGTGAAATGTTGGTGCACGGCTGTGTTAGAGAAGCCTAAACAGTGTGTTATATCCTCACTGCATTATTCATTTACAAATTGATTTGCTCAAAAATGTTTTTCCAAACTGAAGTTCTTTTAAACTTTCTGTGTATGACACCACGTATCTGAGAGCTCACATGAACAGGGTCAAAACAAACCTGAGTGAAATCCACTCAATTCTTCTTCATTAAAAAAGCATTTTAATTTCATCATACTGAGGTCAATGCCATTACATTTTTCAAGTCCCTTTGTGCACCAGCATGTCTGAACACAGGGACACACCTGCATTAACATCAGCCACGCTTCATTTTTATTATGATGATCTAAATTGTATTTTTTCTCAACCTTGTGTTACTTTACCTTTAAATATAATTTTTCATCTTACACTACTATTATCGTTGTTCTGGTCATTTCTCATTGCACCTCATATCTCATCTCATCTCACTTAACGTTATCTTATATTATCTCATCTTATTGTATCAATGCATGAACAATCACTCAAAACTGCAGTTTAATATTGTCATTTGAACTGCACCAAATAAAATTCATGTAATATTCATAGGCTCGATAGTGAGGGATGCGTATACGATGCAGAAATGAGGTGCAGGCCGGCTCACTGCGGGAAAATATTCATCCTTTCCACGCATAATGCGTATGCAGGCCAATGACGAGAGCATATAAGGTGTCTCCAACAAACGACTTTATTACGAAAGAGATGCTAGAGTTTGTCACGCCTCTCTGACCCAGAGGAGCGCCCAGAGGAGCACCCTGCTGATCACAGTACAGTGGTGAGAAGCATAAGGGTAGAGTGACGTGCAAATTTAGCAGCATGGACAGACTGCATCCTGATTGGTATTCATGTAAATATTAATATACAAGTGTACACGCATCGGTCATATGAAAGAGTTTTTTTCTCATATTTAACCTTTCTTCTTCCCGCTCACTCTCCGGCACGCCCACAAAGTCAGTGTGACAATCTCCAATGTGCATTGTTTCAGTTTGCCTCAAGTTCAGGTGGAGAGGCGGTTTCCATTTGTCGTTCTCTTAAACCCCGAGACCCCTCCCCTCTTCCACCTGCGTCCGCCCTGTTCAGCGAGTTAGATTGTGCAGAGCATCAGGCGGATGTACTGACCGAATGACAACGTCCCGACCAGCCAGACTCCTTTGAAGCCGATGCCTTCGGGTCGGCCCCAGGGTTGTTGAGGCATGCTGGAGTCTGCCATAGGTGGAGGAGTCCTGCAGTCCCTCAGCTCATTTTGATTAATGGACCTCTCTCTGCCTCTGAGTGAGCAATTATCAGAGGGTAGGCAAAGTCGTTCATCTCCGTGCGCTGAGCAGCGGGGTCTCTTCCACTGTCGAGTCACACCTGCAGAGCTGGGCCCGCATCCTCCCACCTCTTCTTCTTCCCGATCCTCCTCCAACCAGGATGCTTTCCATGTTCTATGTACAAAGCGTCAGGGAGGTGGAGGCCGGTCCGTATGTTGTGCGTTACCTGTTTTCACCATGGAAGTTGTTCACTCCGGGCTCTTGCCTTCACCAAATTCAGCGACCGGCCGTGCATTTTCTACCTGGGCCTTCTGTGTCGGCTTACTACAGTTAAATGACCTAATAACCTGATTATGACGCCGCAGTTACGGGTTATTCATTGTTTTGTGTAAACACCTCATATTCACATAACACTGTGACATTTGGAGTGAAATAAGATGTTACATGAAGGTCAACACCTACAAGTACATTAACTGCAGACACAAGAAGCGTGCATGAGGTGATTCTGCGTAATTAATGGACAATGCGTTTAGTTGAAAACTCAATGACAAAAGAAAACTCACAAGAACCAGTCACATTTATTTACAACAAAGCATGACAAGACAATCTATCAAAACTGTGGCACTAAAACGCTGCACACAGAATTCAAAATTATTATTTAAATCAGAAGGAACGATATTAACTATAACAACACGATAGACAAATTAACACGCTACTGACGATGTAAAAACACAAAAGCAGTTCACTAAAAATCAACAATATCTCCTCATATACTTTAATATGCAGAGTTTAGAATCAAGAGTCTGGAGGACCTCCGGCCTCACTTACACGGAACCATGGGGGCTGAATCTGATTGGGTAAAAGCTCTTAAAACCAGCTGCACTGGGAGCAGAGAAACAGCGGACGAAAGGAGCTGTGCAATGAGCAAATAAACTAATGGGATGAATAATTGTTATTCATGAAGTGCATTTATAAAAAATGAAAATAAATAATAACACAGGGATAACTTTTTGATTCTGTTTGTGTTTGCTGTGATTGCAGAGAAGGCTTAGCTGGCAACCATCTAGCGGTTTGTGCATGTGTTCAGCATACTGATGTCCTTAACAGACTAAAAGAAACCGGCTGCTTTTGGATGCCAATTACCAAAGAGACAAGTTTGTGAATCATGTTATCCTGTGAAGTGGTTCATATTGATTGTGAAAATGGAGTTTTGTTCAGGTTCATTTTGTTTTATTCTTGCAAGGGTCTGTCTCAACAGTGACATCAGTCCCGGCACAATTTGTTAAAATGCACGTGGATGTCAAGAATACCACTAAAGCTGCCCTAGCAGATTGAACATGATCACTGACATTTAATCAGCATATAATTTGCCAGAGGTTTGCCCACACTGGGGTCAAGCCTTTTTTTCAGCAATTCATTACAACAGGCTGGTAAACTTGCAAACTAAATTACCACACACAAGAAAATGTATAAAAAACAAACATTGACTTTGCTATTATCAGTGTCCATTGATGTGACGGAAGTGGGGCTTCTGAGGCTTCATCCAGTAGCTGAACTCTGACCCTCATTCATGCAAAACATATGAACAACCGTTCTCTATCTTGCAAATCCTCTGCAAAGTTTTCATTTCCATCTTTCTAGCCTCAATTTCTTCCAATGCAACGTCCCGAAATGCACTATTAATTCTGTATTACTGGAATGTTTGCATTTCAGTTGGGGCTGGAAGTACTAGGACCCAATTACTGAACTCATTGCTTTAATACACCTGCCATCCAAATCCCCCCCTTTAACTGTTAAAAATGCTGTTCACAAAATTAATCCTCCCAAATCATTGTAGCTATTCACCTGCATCTGAATCTATTATTCATATGTTTTCAGTAACAACCCCATCACCTATAATGTCTTTGGAGGAAGGCCGGAATCTGATTTCCTGCTAATGCTGGATGACGTGCCGTGGATCATGCATTATGAATGCAAACCAACTGAACGCGACTTGTCCCAACTTTGCCATTAGGGCCTTTTTCTATTCATTAATTTCTTTCTTTACTTTTGAGCTCAAGATTTTCCCCCACATATTTTATGCATGTCGGTGAATCTCCTTTAATGGTTATCATTGTAGACTCCACAAAAAGGGGACTTGGTATGCATTTGAAGTACAGAGAATCCGTTTGACCATTCCGCTATCAACGTGTAACGCATCCAAGATGAGCAAGGTCTCCGTCACGCGCGTATGAGTGTCTCTGTCCATCCGCCAGGGATCAGGCAGGGCTGACTTTTGTTTCATTTCACCCACATTTTGAATACTTAAGTTAATTTATGCGTTTCATTTCAGTAGTTTATATTTTGAAGCTAGAAGGAAACAGCTTAAAGTAGATAACCTACCGGATCGTGATAGCTACAAAGTTTGTTTCTCCACACAAGTAAAAGCTATTATAAGAAATATGGTCAAGATATTTGCTCGCGTGCACTGGAAATGCTGAAATCTGTGTGCAGCCACCTTGTCAGCTCTCCATCTCACTCTAGCCCCTGTATCTCGCCTTTTGCATCTTTTGCCATTCCCTTGCCCTCCTTTTTTTAAACCACCTCTGACTGTTTTCTCCATCTACAGCTCACATCTTTATATCACTCCAATTTCAGCACGGTGAGATGGAAATTGAGTGGGAGGACTGTGTTGCGGGAAAAGATGGTGGTTTCAGGGCGGACAAAAATAAAATCCAATTTCAGCTAAAAAAAAAAAACTAATTGCCCCTTACCTGCCCAAATCTTCAGCTGGTCGCATCTGCGCGCATCTCTAGTATCTCAAGACCTGGCACACAGCAGGAGGGCATAGAGACAGACCATGAAACCAACCCACCTCCATGCTCACAACTAAGATTGGACACACACTATCAGCCCTTTTTTTGGACTTTTTAGAACCACTACCTGCTTCATATAGAGTGTCCAATTATAGATCTCTACAACTTCAGGGTTACTACGTGTGTAAAGGATTCGTTGATCAAAGCTTTGTTGAATCAAATTGCGATTGAGTCTTCCAATCCCGCCATTCACGTTGTTTGTGCAAGAACGTCCCAAAACGGGGGGAAAACAGACATCTTCAGATATTTTTGGCCTGCAAAGTGAGGAGGCATACTTATTTTTGGAGGGTGAGCAATAAGGATCCACCTGAGCCGTAATCTAGTTGACTGACAGCAGCAACACAATGGCTTTCTCCACACATTACCCGGAGACATTCGGTAACAGCGATGGATTTCAAGAGAAGAGAAGAGGCACAGCGAGCGAGGGGAGAGAGAAATGCACTCAGACACAAAGAGGCAAGAAAGAAAAAGAGAGATGAATGACACCAAAGGTGTGAAAAAAAAAACCTTACAAGATCTTGAATTCTGTTCTTCCTACTACACGTTTTTTGAGGTATAGATCCTCAAGTCATTTGGGGCCTTGCCCTGAGTTTCTATTATTGGGCGTGTTCTCATGTTCTGCTGATTGTAAATGAACACATCTTTCAAGGCAAGCCCCATGAGAAAAGGCTTTCTAAAGATAGGGTGTCGTTTATTCAGGAATATTCCACACTCTATAAGAATAAGACTCAGTGTTAACAAAAAAGGACAATAACACATTAATCACTGACACAAAATACTAGAGATTTTAAAAATATAATTTCCTATTTTCTACTTATTTATTTAAATACACATCAGTTATTGGTAGTAGTAGTAGTAATATAAGAATATTGAATAATATGTATTAGTCAATATTGAAAATCAGGTAGTGGTTCTAAAAAAATCATTATCAAAATATTTAACAATAATATGCCCATTGATCATTTCATGCAAATACTGTGCTAATAAAACGCTCTATATAGAGGAAATCTGTATTGACATGTAAACTTAACACTAAACTACTAAACAAGCAAATACATGAGGAATAAGATGGCCGAGTATGAATGGCCATGTGACCAGGTGCATCCGTCACTCAAATAATTTATTGTTTATCAATTACATTTTTCATTTGACGTTTATCAACTAAATGTATTTTTAAAAGATGGATGCACCTTTCAGAAGTTGAGTTTGATATGCATTTCATAATAGTTCAAATTCAAGGGATAATATTGGTCTAAAGCACATTGATCAGTCGATTAATATATTAATTATTCTACCAACTAGTATCTGAAATCAGATATTTTGTGGTTTACTAACATTAATCTTGTTCACATCGGTAAAATCCACGGTAGTTTCCCTCTAGGGGACTTCTCAACCTGGTTTAATGTTATGGTTTGTTTTGGATGGCATTCTTCCATCTGGTCACAGTTTGATGCTGAATCATCTAACCGTCCCACATTGAGGCCGCAGGGCTCATAATAGCATCTTTTCCCATTTAAAAATGTCATTTGAAAGTTTTTTCTTTTAATATCTGTCTACTGTTGTGTCTAGTTGTGGAAAAAGTCTTCAGCTAGTTGTTGTTCTACAGGTTGGTTCTTTAGAGCCTTGTTTGTCAACGGCCGAGTCAGCAGAGCAGAGATCTGCAGGGCAACCCAGATTGAGCCCAAGTTGTAGGTGTTTGCAGCTCCCGGTTTGGCTTGATGTCTCTTTTAGCATGTTGAGATGTCTCTGGCTCACAGTGGACCTACGGGTCTGCAGAAAGGCAGGGAGAGGGAGAGCCCTTTCCTTCCTCTGCAGGTGCGTCTGTCAGTCTCTGGGAGAAAAAATCAGAGACAAAACAACACGAAATAAAACGTTTTATTTCCAAACCCTTATGTTTTCAAATCCAGAGATTACATTAATAAGGACTATAAAACATAGATTAGAACCAAGGCAATGCAACATTTAAACAACTGTAATAATCCAGTGGATTCAACATATACTAGTGTTAACTGAAACATGGCAATGGGGAGACTTCCATTTCTGTTTAAGATCCGTGGCATTAATACATAAGGACAAGCTTACTTAAGGCTTAATCTGCAGTTTGGGATTATATATTATTTGGCATCCATATTGAAGTGCTGCAAATTTAAAATGACTCAAATTTCAAATAACATGAATCACAGATGTTTCTTAGTGAGACTTCAGTATCTTCCAGATAGTTATTTAAACACAGCATGTTCATGACTGTTTAAGTCAATGGCAAAATGATTTCATTGGATTTGAGTTGATAGTGAGAATCATCTCACAATTTTTTTAAATCAATGCAAACAGCAAACTACACATTTTCAACCCTCTTAAAAGGTCTCAACAAACGGATTTAGGTGATCTGGATGGGTACTTAGTCTTGTTGTCTTTCTCCTCTGGGATTTTATTCAGGCCATGTATTAATTTGGGGGTTTGTCATTGACCACCAGACGGGTAGGATCAGATAAACAGTTTCTAGGAGAAATTTAGGAATTAAGATAGAGCTCATAATCACCCTCATTGGTATGTGTCTATATTCGAAGGATCTACAATCCTTCTGTCATTCTTGGCGTTATCAGCCACAAAGACCTCCAAATTTCAAAAGACATTTCAAGCAAACCAGTAGAAAAATGTATACAAGCTGAAGCAAGAACATGCTGATTGCTTTCGACTCACCGGAGATTATAAATATCTCCAAACAATATCAGGAGGATAAGGTGAATTTAAAGGGTGAAGGAAACACAGTGTAACCGGTAAGTTTAAGTGGGATAAAATATTTGAGTTGTACTAAATGTACAGCAGAGTCCACAGGGACAAGGAGGACAGACGGGTGCAGGCGGGGACGCAACACAGTCCATCATATTCTCTGTGTTGTTGGCTTTTCCTCCTAAGACCTCATTCTAAGCTTCTTTTGATGCAGCGACATGACTCCCTCAATCACTCAAATTTCCATAAACTCGCAATTTCAAGGCGGATAAATAAAACGGTTTAATTCACTGGATGCAAATAGCACCTTGTGTCCTCGGGCGCCAACACCTCACAAAGAGATTTCAGATCGTACGCGGTGTGCAACCAAATAATATTTGTGTTTGCCTCTGAGTGCAAAAACAATCTTGCAGACATCTAACGTGTGCTTTGAAGTACTGCTTGTACGGGCAGGGTGAGGCCATTTAAACACATCAGTCTAATTTAGCAGATGTGAAAAGAGCAACGCTTTCACTCGGTGGATGTTAAGGAATCCTGTTCATGTCAATTAAGAGTCCTACAGTGAAAAACCCTGATTGGTTGGTGTTATTTCGTGCAAACAAACGTAACATATTCACCTCTCTTTCATTAGCGTGCAAACATATCATAAATAGATGACAGATTTTAATGAACGTTTAACCGCTCCGCAGACAGCTGCCTTCACCTAATTGTCAAAGTCTGTGTGCTTTTCATCTCCGTCCTCATTAGACAGCAAAAGAGGGATTTGGCTCCACAGCCACTGTGGAAGAAAACAGACTCCCTTCAATACTTACTTCCAAAAGATGGATAGCAAGATAGTTTGGGTACATCCAAACTCAAAGGAGTTTCATGATACAGCTGCTATTGTTTTTACACATTGAGATACTCGTTTATTTGCTTTGCAGTCTTATGAAATCCAACACAGTGCTGCAATAATTCTTATCTTTGTTATCAGCCGTTTTGAATCACCCTACGGTCATTGTTATTATTGGAGCTGGTGTTGTTGCAGTAGATTGCAGCAGATTGTACGGATTTTCCTAGTAACCGGGTGGACTGGATGGCGACTGTATTGTCCTTCATTGTTCTGTACGCCTTGCTTGATGTACACACAGCGTGCTTTGATTGACAGTTGCCCGTCTAGAGCATAGATGTGCACCGCCCCTGTCAACACAGAAACAGCATTTCGTGGCTTTTCGGTGTCAGCAGTGATGCACATTTTTTTTAAACGGCCGTCTTTTGATTCTTAACGTCCAATTGCACGTCTAATTTGCCGAGACGCCACGATAGAGGATCACACCCTGATGTGTTCAGCCTGCTGCTCCGCATCTGCCCTCCTCTGTGTCAGCATATCAAACTATAATATCATTTAGCCTGCTTCTCGAATGGTCAAGCCTGCCCCCCCTCACAGAATACAGTGACACATACCCTTGTTTTTTAGGTAAATGCATTGAGACATGTGTTGTTGTACCGTGTCTTGGGATCCAAGAGCAATGTTCCACTGAAAATAGCGCTTATATTATTACTGAAATACACTGGGAAGCAAACAATTCAGATGGCTGGCTCTATTCCACAGTTAACTTGGCAGGAAGTTTTGAGGTCAGTGTGGATTAAATAGCTCACATGAAAAAGCTTCCCATTTAGTCGCAGCTGGTTGAAACGTTTGATTTGATGACACAAAGGGCTCAGTTGCATTGCAAATCCCACAGCATATGTCAAAAGCGAAACAATTACTAGCTAAATTTAGTTTACCTGGTGTTCTTGAATCAGCGCGTCAACGTGGCTTTGGTCACATGTTCCATCAGGCATTCCGTGCCGGACCCATCATAGCTTCTAAACCAGAGACAAGTCGTGCTGGTTAGAAACGTACACGCAGAATAACAGCTGCGTCAAGCCCGTAAGACGTCTCACCTGTGATGCTTGGTCGGCTGGTCGGGTGGTAAAGAATGAGACACAGCGCTGTGCCAGGCCGAGGCAAAGGGTACAGAAGGTGTAGCTGCAGTCTCCTGAACACAAGCCAGAGCACACGTCCACGCACATCTGGCAGCAGATGTCACAGCAGTGTTCAGAGCAATATCTCCAGTTGTCACACACACACCAGCGGCCACCAGCTGGTCCGCATTCCTCCTTACTTTGCATGCAGGAGTTGCAAGGCTTGCAGGATTTTAACCCCATGGGTCTGCCAGTTAAAAAAAAAAAGAAAAACACGAGATATTGGAGGAATTCACCCGCTGGAATGGTCCCCTTTTCAAATCCGGGATTGGAATTGCGGATCTATACTCAAAAGGAAGGAGAAAAATATCCTGGTAATTGACTGTCAGACTGTCTTGAACATCGCAGAAGTTTCCTCCCATCTCGTCCAAAATTGGTTGCAGTGTTGTCTGATGATTTCTCCGAACAGTTTGACCAACTTTTAGAGATTATTCTCGACGTCATACTTTGCTCCCCTGAGGCCTCCCAGCCTGCCTTCCCATCTCCCACATTCACAAGACAAGGAACGAAGTGAGCCCTAAAAACAATTTGGCCTTTCAAGTAAAAAAAAAATCAACCTCAAATGTCATCGCCAACAGACCATTTCTCTGTTGACACTCACCCAAAATGTGCATAGCACCAATAGAGGATCTCATTTTGTTGTGAGCATGAAATCCAACAAAGACGCTCTTTCACAGGCCTACTTGTCATGGGGCCTCCAGTTTAGACATGGTGGTGAGCAAGGATAATGAGCAATGCAGCATGAATGAGTAAACACTGATTTAATTACAGAAGCACTACCCATCCAAGTTTCCGAACAAAATAAAGATACCAGATGTTTGAAACAATCTTCGAGTAATTGGAGTCAATTTCTACTCCCCCAAAATGTTTTAATTGGGAGCAAGGAAGATTTACTTTGAAGTTTTGTGAGACATTCTGAACTTCCCAGATCATCCACAAAAGATGCCTCAGTGTCACATTGATCAAGTAATCATCACTAAATCAACCAGTCTGAGGCGAATCACATTTGTTTCATAACAAAAAGAACATGAACACAGGACAATGCGTCACAAGTACGCAACGGTTAAATAAAATAACTTTGTGTTAAACCTGTTAGATGTAGGCACATATTATTATTACCATTTACCCTATTATTATATAATATACTAGTAGTAATTTTGACTTAAATATGTAATTTATGTTTTTTTTTTGTTTTCTATTGTGTACACATTATAAAATGCATTTAATTTAACTTGATTGATTAAAGTCAGAATAATTCTGCTTCACGGTGTGGCAAAGGTGACATTTAATTCCACTAAGTCTTCAACTAAGAAATGACCACTTCTTTTAAAAAGCCAGTTACCCCGGGATTAAAAAATATCTCCATGAAACAAATTGCCTTTATATTTCTACTTAAATATTGCAGTATCCCAGGAGTTGGTTAATCAAGGACAGAACAGACATCTGTTCACATGGCAGCACTCATTGCATTTTATTATTTCATTCTGTCTCTGTCTTCCTTTCACCCTCATCCTCTTCTTTCTCCCTACAACCCAAATGTCAGCACGCTGACTGCGACGGGTGAACGACAGCGAAGCGAATTTGACCTTGGCGACTCTCAGAGGGGATTGGCAGTAATAAAAGGCGCCGGTGAGCTACACCGTTGGCCCTGGGGGCGCCTGTTAATGAATGACATGAAACAGCCGTGAGAGATTTCGGGGGTGGGGGGGTGGCAAGCAGTGGGAGGAGGAGGGAGTGATGGAGGGGGAGGGGGGAGACAGGCGACAGCAGCACCGCGCACAGCCCTCACCTGCGATGCGCTCAGCCGGCACCTCCCACGGGGTTTTACACTTAAACACATGCTGGGTGGCATGTACGCAGACATGCAGGCAGGGTTTGTGCACACAGGCATGCAGACAACAACTAAAAAACTAACCGCCTACAAACACTTGCCATCGAAAGACGCTCTGGCAAAAGCTCTGGTTTACTGGAGAATAGATCAGATATTTTATTGCATTATTCATGTGCTAAGTAAACCCCCATCGCACCTGAGGGCGACTTTTTTGCGCCTCCCACTCACTCTGACTCTCGATCGAGCCGTGATACAGACCTGACAAAGTGACGATTCTGCTTAATCTCCAGCTTCCTCGGCTGCAGTGCATCCTGTTTGTGAACTGTGGCAAGTGTGGAAATAAGGCTACTTCAGGGGTTTGTGCGTCTCATATTCAACACAGTGAGAGCAGAGGACCGTTTGGTAGTTCTTATACTCCATCAGAATATGTTAGTAGATTCAGGTGATATCCTGTATAATTATAGGTAACGAATTGATAGGGGTGATGAGTGTCAAGACCACTAATGGAATGCAGTACTTAACCTCCATAATCTCTTGGTGCCCTTCACTTAGTGGCAGGATAATTAGATTACTGCTGCCGATACCTTATTATCTGGTACAAATGCAAACTTACATTGTGCGCGGCAGACTTGTATGAACTTGTGTGCACATTTAGATGTATGGATATATGATACATGGTACTACATATACTGTATATACAGTACATGTAGTACCAGGGGGGGGATCTGACTTTTTTACAAAACTATGACATGATTAGAAACATTTTTATTGAATTAAATGTGGATTTTCTGACCACTAGTAGCGCAATGGAACATGACGGTGTAAGGAATAACCAATGCAAAAATACAGACGCTCTTATCGGAGAATATGTAAAAGCATCTAGAGTCTAGCAACCTGTTCGATATATGTTTTTTTTATTTAGTTATGTTAAGTGAAATGTTTTTAATTTGAGCTCCTTCCGGTATTCAGTCAGCATATATAAAGGGTTCTGATTGAGAAAATAAAGAACCGGTTGGATTTGTTATGCTCTGCCTTTTTCAAATCGTCAAACGCAAGATGTTTCCCATCTTGGTTCAGATCAAGCGGCCTCTGTCCTGTAGTGTACATTTTAAATATGTCCTTACCGCACAATACGACCATTGATGCATTTACCCACAGTATAAAAGCTATAAAAATATATATTCAAAACCCAAATCTGTGTTTTCTAAGGAAAAGGCATCATGAACGATCACCCATTGGATAAATTCATTTAATTCAATCAGGAGACACTTGACATGTTAACAATGATACGTGTGGTTTTACTGCTGATTGGAGGTGTCAGGGGTGGCCGAGGGTCGCCTCTGCTGCATGCTGCCAAGACAACTGACAGCAACCATTTCAACGTTTGGCAGCACCAAAGCGATTGGTTTACGGAAACGGTGCCCCCGTCTGGTTGGCTGGTACTACACGAGCCCGCCCCCAATCAGCTGGCAGCGTATCCACAGGGAGAACGGCACCGCTTGACTGAATTTACGCCCCCACACTTCATTTGAAGTTCCATCACTTCTGCAGTAGAACCGACTGCTGAGTACAGGTGTCATAAAATAACTTGTTTGAATTCATTCCAGTCATTCTAAGAACTAATGCGTTTTTGATGGATTGTAAAGACGTTCACGGTTCCATGGCTTCCTTATGATGTCTCTGACTTTTCATTTTGCTCGGGCTGAAGGTGACATTTTTGTTTCTGTAGTTAAATTGAAAAAAGAACCGATGGGTGTCTTTACATTTGGAACAGTCATGAATTCCCCCTTAGATAATGATTGCAATAACCTTTTTTTTAAACATATTATCTTTTGCACTTGCCAAATTTCAGATAAAGTTGATGGTAACTGACCTCCAGAACACTTATTTAACTACTTGTTGTGAATTTGGGGACACTCGGTTTGCGTCAAAATAAGTTTCGAAAAGGCAAACTCTTTATTGTTAGAAGACCTTGAAATTTGGGTTACATTTAAAGGCTTGGAGTCGTGAATATTATGTTCGTCTAAAATTAGAATGTTCCCAGTTTTAATATTTATACTCCAAGTACAGCTTCACAAAACTGTGAGCATGGCTGTAGCCTTGTTTAAACACTGTTAACCTTCACACACACACAAGCCTACGACGGTTTTCCTGCACCACTGTGCTACATGTGAAGGTTTAGCGTCTCACTAAAAGGTTCCTTTTGTAGGTTGTTGTTGTCTGGGGAGACTTGAATGAGCGACCTTTCCGGAGGGCCGCCTCTTTAACTTTACGCTGGTACCACTCAAGGACAGACGGGGCCATCTGGAGTTGTGAGGGACCTTTGGGCAAGCGGTGACTCCAGGACCGGTGATATGTAAGAAATGAAACTGCCCGTTCTTGGCTATCTCAATTTAGACCGTCCCATTGGTTCCACAGAGCCACTTATGTCCAGAGGTCATTAATTTAAACCATCTCTGGAGTCACATCTTTTCTCATAGTGAACTCGGTTAACACATACAACATTTAATTAATGTAATCACGTAAGAATCCTTTAGTGTATGAAGAACAATTCCACATACCCCTGCTGCACCATCAAGGGCTGTTTTTAACTTTCGTTTTCACAGAAATGCTCAAGACGGCGTTGTGGGTTTTTTTAAGCATGGAATGCTTTTAATGTGTAATCCGTCAGATCTTTTCTTTTTTTTTTTTTTTTGCCATTTGGACACTGAGATTAGCATTTCAATCGTCACCTGTGAAGTATCAGGTAGAGTTTGATACTTTCAATGACAGGCACTTCATGAGGACTGATGTCCTCTGTGGCACTTTCATTTACCGTTCAAAGTGATGGACAAATGCCCAAGGAGTGCCAAGGAACCGTGTCATCAAGCTGTCTTTTTTGAAAAAGTGTTTCGGTCACTTGACAAGCTGGCGGGGTGTTGCTGTCTCTTTCTTGCTTATGAAAAGGCAAAAAGATTGATCATGATTGGTTTCTCTGCAAGTCGTCACGCTGCGAGATTGACTTGGTAATGTGTGTTGACATGGAGATCAAATGAGCCTGCTCAAGCAGCTCGTATTAATTTAGCACAAAGTAAAAAACGGTTTGTTAGTGGCTGCTCAAATCCTCATTTGCTTTCATTAAGCAAAAAAACAAAAAAAACATGGCGGCATCTGTGTGGCAAAACAGTAGATCCCTCTACCACACTGACTCATGTGTTGTTATGGCAATTTTCATGCATGAATCAAGCCTCAAACTAAGCTCATGACTTTCAATCATTAATTAAATCTTCAGAACATGACCTTCTTTTCTTCCTTTAGTGAATTACTGATTTAAATCAGGCTTTTGTGGCTTTATTAGCGATATTTTAGAAATTTCGTTTCGTGCACCTTTAGGTCATTCATTGCAAAAGTATCTCAAAAAAGAGAACGCTTTTAATTTGTGAATCCACCAGAAAAAAAAAAGATCCTAATATGTGTCCCTGTACGTGAAAACAATACATAACATGTTGTGACTATTTCGCAACCGGTCAAGACACTGGGCCCGTCTGTGTGGGCTACACGCACCGGTGCAGCTCTGCCCGGCGCCCAGTGCTCTCTCCGGCCGATCCATCAAAAGGAACAGTGCTCTCGTGAGTGAGAAGATTTATACACCGTGCAAGAGAGGTGGAGAATTATCCCAGATTTACGAGCACAGGCCACAATGGCAAGACGCTCGCTGCTGCTGCTGCTGCTCCTTTGACATTTGAAATGGAGAATGGGAAAGAAAATTGGAGACGGTG